ACATTTTGAGCTTGAATTAAAGAAAAAATTTGAGTCGCCCCCTCCCCCTAGAAGTAAGTCTAAATACGACCCTGAACGTTATCTGGTTTATAACAGAGCCAACTTCTTTGAAAATGTCCCACCTATCGTTGATTACAAGTTACAAACCAAGATAGTACTGATTGAGATTTGTAAATTTATTTGTTCATTTTATAATTACTAGGTACTTCATTTTTTATTAATTAATAAATTATTAAATTACATAAATTTACTTAACTATTAAACTATATAAAAATACATAAATAAATTATATATTTAAAACCATTTACAAATATTGGATAAAATATTATGTTTTGCATACTGAAAAAATAATAAATACTCTATTTTTTTTACCAAAAAATTTAGAAATAAACAATGAATTAAAATGATTACTGAAATAAATCGTAAATGCATAATTTACGCTATACATACATTTTTACCCATTTGATATATAAAGAATTTATTATTAGAGAGAATACACCACAAAACTGAATACATATACTGAATTATTAATACATGATTACCATTACTTTTTAAAATACTATTAAAATAATTTATATGTTTAGAATTTTTCACTTCAAATACTTAAACCGAAATTAAATATTAAAGCAATGCAACAATATTTGAATAATTTAATAGGTATGTCAAGTGTTAAATAAGTTAAATACTTAAAAGGCCAAAAGATACATTTGACACCACTCCATTGTTGGCTTTGTATAAATTAAATAATTGCAATAATTTTAACTACATATCAATTGAAATAGACAAATAATATAACAAATAAATTTTATCAAATTCAATTTGATTTGATTAATTTGGAAAATTAATTTAGAACTTAAATAATGTAAATGTGTCAAAAAATATACCTGTTGGTTGGAAATACTTTTATGATGGAACAGCAGATACATAATACTTCTTGAACATAAATTGAACCAACCTAGAATTAAGCAGTGGCGGTTCGTGATGTTCAAAGTGGGTGGTGTGCAAAAATAATCACAAAAGTTTAATTACAAATAAATTAAATTCAAAATGCCATTATCATGATATTTATTAGTTTTTTCCATATTTTTAAAACATGTATTATGAATTATAATATTACATATTTGTCATAATTTATTGTATCTACATATTGTTACAATAAGCAACAGTGTCATAATTAATTATAGAAAGAAGTTACACAAAAAAATTAAATATTTTTATATATAAAGTCAATTCTTCTCTCCTTGGAATTGGCAAATTGTTCTATAACTTTATTATTGAAATCAGTTATATTGTATATTGTAATAATATTGTATTATATTCATTACAAAGTTTCTTTCGATGGATAGCATTGCTAACGTCGATAATCTGTCTTGATGCATTGTATTACGTAAAAATGTTTTGATTCTTTTTAATGTAGAAAAACACCTTTCTGATTCCGCTGTAGACATTGATATTGTAATAATAATTGTTAACAGCTTCATGCTCACACCTAATGTACCAATAAGGTTTTCAGATTGTATTAATGATAATAATGTATAATTGTATAATTAATAAATAATAATAAAACAGCTCCACTCATGGATCTAAAATGCAGTTCTGCTATAAATTAATTGTAACTCGGTTTTTAGTTTTTTAGTGTCAAAATATGGATATACATTTATAATTTCATTAAAATAATTTTCCGGAAAATGCTTATGATATTTTTCAAAATTATCGGCCAAAAATAAATTTGAAGCAACCAGATGACCAGTAAAATCAAATCTTTGTTTTATTTGAGATATAATATTATCACACATTTCAATTGCTTCTCGTTTTATTTCGCCTTCTCTGTGTTTTCTTTTATCACCACTTTGTTCAAAATTACCTTCACATAACGTTCCCATTTGGTTTCTTATTTTGGAAATCTCTTTATTAAAATGTTCAATATTATTTTTCACAGTTGTTGAATCAGTTTCTCTTTTTTATAATTGACTATACAATATATCGACATGAGGCATGATATTGTGAAAAATTGTACGCCAAGAAATAAATGTATTATCAAGTAATGTTCTTTTTAGTCTCGATGCCTGTTCATTAGTAGGTATATGTGTAATGGATTCATCACTTATTATTTTTTCCATGCAATTAATTAATTCTTCCCTATACTCGAATACAGTATTTACTGTTCTAGAATGAAAATTCCATCTTGTATGAACTACTTTAGGTAAACGTCTTCGAACAACTTCATCCAAAACAGCAGTTCTTTGAGAAGACGTTGAAAAAAATGTACAAAAACTTCCAAGGCTAGCAAAAAAATCCGAACATTCCTATTTATTGAAGCAGCATTAGCCATAGCTAAATTAAGCTGGTGAGCGTAACAATATACATAATTAGCATTTGGATAATGTTGTTTAATTTTTGCCTGAACTCCGTTAATATTGCCGCTCATAACTGAAGCGCCATCATATGTCGGTGCAATCATTTACCAGTGACATCACCAATATGTTGGGTAAGTTGTTCTTTAATGCACTCAGCAAATACTTCAGAATTATGTTCTTTAGGCTTTAAAAATCCCCGAAATCTTTCAATAACTTTATCATTAACTATATACTGATAAACAATAACCATTTGAAAAATAGCACTCACATCAGTAGTCTCGTCAGCTGTTATTGCTAAATAATCAGCCTTTTTGATTTCTACTGATATTTCTTGCTGACAAATATTTAACATGCACTTTAATAATTTGTTCTGTATAGTTTTTGACGTACCTTTAAAAACGGTTGCTTTTTCTAAGTGCACTTCTAATGCACTATCCAATTCCGCACTAAAACTTATTAAACCACGAAAAATTCCTAAATTCAAAGATGTATCTTTTTCATCATCCCCTCTCAATGCTAATTCGAAAGCGCCACAAAATCTAATGAAATTAATAATTTCATTCAAAATGTATAGATTGTTTGAAACTTTCTCATTGTGTAGCTCTATACCTAAATAAAAAAATACGTTTTAAACGACCAAACAGTAATATAAATAAAGTATATAAATAAATACCTCTTTTGTAACTGCTATCCAACATTAAAAGAACATTTGTTTTACCTAACGTTGCTAAATTCAAGTTGTTGTTCATATGTTTAACAGTTAAGTAATATTTTTTCATTCGATCATTTAAATGATTTAAATCTGTCATTCCTGTTTTGGTCCATACCATTTCTCTACCAAATAATAAACACGGAAAACAAAAAACTGCATTACGTTTATCACAACCACAGAGCCAATTATTATACTTCGTATAAGTATCGATGATAAATGAACGCGTAAATTGACGTGTTTTCTTTTTAATGACTTGTATTAATTTCAAATCAGGCATAGGTCTCCCTAATGTTTTTATTTTAATATTTTCGTCAATTTTATGTAAAGAAAACTTTTTTTCTAAAAGATAATCAACCGAATTCATTATTTATATTGTAATATAAATGAAATTGTGAGTATGATGAAATAAAGCTACTACACATAACAACGAACAAAGGCGAAATGATTACTAACATATTTTACTATAATAAAGTTCTTTTGTTAAAACTAAAAATACTTTTATTGGAATAAATATTACGATAATAATGACGAAAATAGAAAATACGGTGGACTATTTCTGATAAGACACGCCGTGGCGATATTGTTTACCGTGTGTGCAGCAATTGCTGCACACCACGGACCCATTTATGCGTCAACCCCCACTCCACCGACGACGGAGAGTATTTCACTGACTGAGCTGCACACCAATTGATGTGTGTATATTACATAACTTACCAAATTTTAGGAGTAGTATTTTCGAGTTTTGGTGAATATGAAATGTTTGTAAAATTTATTTTGTATAATAAAATAAAAATAATTTAGCAGATAATTAAATTACATTTAAATTAAATTTTACTTTTATATCTATGACAGGGGTGACAAATAAGTGGCACGCGTGCCATGAGTGGCACGCATGAGATTTTCAATGGCACTCAAAAAACTTTTATTTGTCCATATATATTTATAGGTTTTTTAAGTAAAACACAATAAATTGAATTATCAATTACACATATTAATAGTACATATTTCACAACCACGTATTGTTATCTTATATTTATTATTAAAAAAAAAAAAATTTATATGTTGTAATATAGTGGGACACTAGATTACTAGAATCGTGTGTTCACTTCAACTAGAAGTTGTATTCTAACAAACAACAATAATAATTTAATATTTTTTTTACATTATTTCTATTTCTACATAACTTTCTATATTATAATCATTATTTTTTCATTTATATATTTCATTTGTATTTTTCTGTGTTAATAAAAATAATTTTGGCACGGCTAAAATTTTTTTTTTTAATTATGTCATAGATTGGCATGTTGAAAAAAATCCTATTTACCATCCCTGATCTATGATAATCTATGTGGTGTGCGCACACCAGCACACCTAGGCACGAGCCGCCACTGGAATTAAGAAGAGTAATTGAAAAACAATTATCAAAATTAAAAATACCCATTTTACACTAATAAAAATTGAATGGACAAAAAACTTCTTGCAATGTTTAATTTTTAAAAAAAAACTGTCAAAATTAATAACAACATGAATATTTATCAAAGAATCGCAGACATTTCGTTCCCATCAAAAAAACGAGTCTACGGACGTATACGCACGTTTGATATTATCGATAGATATTTATAATTTAGTTCGTGCTTTAAACTCTTTTAGAGGGATGTCATATTTCACTGACACCCGCCCCCTCCTACTTACTCTACTAATTAATATTTTTAATGAGAATTTATTATTGAAATTTGTGATGATGACGCGATATCATTGGCGGCTGCTTGTCGAAACTTGGCTGTTGGCGCCACGGCCGTATGGCTCCAAAGACGATAAAAACATCGTATTCCTTTGTTGTTATCCCGCGGTGAACAGCTGTTTAACTGTTCTTCCAAGACCTTGCCGCGCTCCCACCGCCCGCTGTACGTTATCCTACCGTAGCGCCTGATTTTGTTTTTTATTTATTTTGATGTGATATTATGATTACACATTGCTACAATATTTTTGCGTGCTATCCGCACCGATTTCAGTGAAAACCAGTCGACTCAAAACCGTTTTTCCGGTCTTCGTTGCCGGTCAACCAATTTTCGCCCGCCATCGTCTGATATCTATTCTTCACCGTTTAACCGTAAGTCCGTTGCCCACCATTTGGCGGTTACTACTCATTTGCGCACGCCAATAAATTCTCCCGCACTTAACCTTAAATGTCGTTCTTTTTAGAAAGACGGTTAATATTTGCGACAATATTATTTAAAATGTTTATTTCCAGTCCAGGTGCTGTAATCGATCGGCATTTACTATGTCTAACACGCACAGAATGCGATACAAAAATGAAGGCGTTGACTCTAAAGAATTGCGTCGCAGGCGTGAAGAAGAAGGCATTCAGTTGCGCAAGGAAAAGCGAGACATTCAGCTGTTTAAAAGGCGCAACCTGAATGAATTCATTCAGAATGACGATGTTGATGTAAGTGTACTCTTATCAATCCTAGATGAAATTGTATAGGAACTAACAATCCCATATCTCCATAATTTATGATTCTGTTCATAAATTTGTTATAATTTATAATTACAATATATTGTAATGTACTATACTATATTTCCTATTTACATCTGGGAACATTTACTTTAAAACTTATTATATAGTTGAGTTCAAAATAGTATACATAATTTATATATGATTAACGAAACCTTAATAATACTTTTAATCAGCATAATTAGGATAATAATTGTAATGATGGGTTTTATTTTATTTTTTAATAGGTGCATTTTATTTCATTTCAATGACCAAATGCATTGATAATAACTCTCATGTTACATTATTATATTATTATTTATTATTATTATAGTAATATGCCTTACTATTAATTATTTGAATACTGATATAAAATTTATCCAAATCATACTAAGGATTAATCGTTTCCCATCACATCCAAAGTTTTAATATACATTACTTGAATTTTTCTTAATTGATATTAATTATTGTATAACTAATATGAATGTCTAGACACCTGTACCAAATACTATAACTGATTGGTCAAACATAAATGATGAATTGATCAAACATTTGTACAGTCTTAATGAAGAAGATCAATTAAAAGCTACTCAAAAGTTCAGGAAATTGTTATCATCTGAACCGAATCCTCCTATTGATGCTGTTATTAGTACTGGGGTTATTCCACGATTTGTGGAATTTTTGAAAAATACAACTAATAGCCATCTACAGGTATTATATTGTCTTTACTAAATTAAGATTATTACAAAATGAAACTATTATTTAATATTTTAGTTTGAAGCAGCATGGGCTTTAACAAACATTGCTTCTGGAACATCAGACCAAACACGTAAAGTAATGGAAGCTGATGCTGTACCAGTATTTATATACTTGTTAGAATCACCTTATGAAGATGTACAAGAACAAGCCGTTTGGGCTTTAGGAAATATTGCTGGTGATTCTCCAATGTGTCGTGACTATGTTTTGAGTATGGGTATTATGAAGCCATTATTAAAGTAAATATATTATGTATATTTCATAAAACCTCAAATTTTAGTGTAAGTCAATGTATTTAATACATAAAACATACTTATTGTATGATACATAGCAATTTTAATCATATATTATTACATAAATGTGTCTTATGAATCATTAAATTTTTTTGGTATTCATGTTGTATGTGATCTGCCGCGCATCTATATATATATATATATATATATATATATATTTTAAGTCATTTCCATTGATCCGATGGTAGCATTCGACGCCTACTAAGCTGGATCTTAACGATTTATAATCTTAATGGACTTGATGTTGATTCATAGCAATATAGGTAATCAAATAGAACAATAATCGTACACGTATGAGAAAATCAGTTGCGGTTAAGTTTTTACCATTATACGTGATACATTATTCTGCAATTCTGCAATATTATATTGAAATTCCATATTAATAAATATATTGTAATTTCACATTTATGTATTCATTCATTCATTCATTCAACTCAAGGACGTATTTGAGTTGAGGCCATGCCCCCCCTGGGTGAAACTAATTTTTCTTCAATACAAACTTAAAAATAATTTACAATTCATTACCTAAAGCTCATGTTCCTGTTATAATAACATGTTATAATGATAGTCTAGTAATTTATATTCTTAATTATTTATACATTACATTTTTTAAATAAATCAGTGTATTGTATTAAAAAAAAATAATATGAGCCATGGGAGCTAATGCCCCCTTCACCCCCCCTCAAATACGCCCTTGATTCAACTATGTGGTATACGGCATGCATGGTAGACCGCATATGACGTATAGAAACGGACGATAGACCGCATACGACATGAATATCCATTTTTTTTCTTATTAAATGATATAAATATTATATTTATATATTTATTCTAAGTAAATTTAAATTCCAAACTTCAAGAAAATGGTTCATTCCCTGAATCCTAAAATGCTATAAATATTCCAGTCTAATTTGAAAAATACAATTTATATAATTAATGATTAAAAAACTGTTGTAACCAGTATTATCAATAAAATTATTATGTTTCACTTATTATTTCTGAATCTTTTATAATTCAGAGTTGTCACCCACTTTAATATTGTAATATTTAATATTGTCCCTATTTATTTTTATGTTTTATAGTTAACTCATTAATTATTGTCATTAGTAGTTGTTAATTAGCATAGAGGTCTAGTCATTGCATTTTATTCAAATTATATTTTGATTATTAAACACTAAATGTATAAATTTGTTTTATTATAGACTATTAAATAGTTGTTCACGTCTATCGATGACTCGTAATTCTGTATGGGCAGTATCCAATTTATGTCGTGGAAAAGTGCCACCACCTGATTTTACAATGGTATCGCCTGCTTTACCGGTTTTAGCTGAATTATTGAATCATTGTGATGCTGATGTTTTGGCAGATACTTGTTGGGCTTTATCTTATTTATCTGATGGTCCAAATGAAAAAATTCAAGCAGTTATTGATGCTGGAGTTTGTCCAACTCTAGTTGAATTACTAATGTAAATTATAATAAACAAACATTTTAATCAATTGATTGAAATAAATTGCCTATCATTATTATGTTTAAAGGCATACACAAAATAATGTAGTTTCTGCTGCTCTTCGAGCTGTTGGTAATATAGTGACAGGTGATGATGTTCAAACACAAGTTGTTCTAAACTGTTCAGTTTTACCATGCCTACTTAGTTTATTGGGATCATCCAAAGAAGCTATTCGTAAAGAAGCTTGTTGGACAATTTCAAATATTACTGCTGGAAATAAAAATCAAATTCAAGTAAAAATTTTATTGTTAATATATTTAATAATATTTATTATTAAATAAATTATAATTTATTTTAATTCATAGGCTGTTTTAAATGAAAATATATTCCCAGCACTCATTAATATTATGGCCACAGCTGAATTCAAGACAAGGAAAGAAGCTGCTTGGGCAATAACCAATGCCACATCTGGAGGAACACAAGAACAAATTCAACATTTGGTTGAGCAAGTAAGTTATTTTATGCTATTATTATATTCCTACAAAATATCTAGGACCTCACCAGTTTAAGATATGTCCAATATTCCTAACACCTTCTTTTTTAAAATATTTATTTTGATAAAATAACTTGTTAAAACAGTTATTTTCCAAATCCACACCACAGTAAGTTAAAGTCAGATGTTGGGCTTTGTTTATTGTCATAACAAAACAGACTTTTATTGGAAATTGAACTCTTCTAAACTTAACTGGAAAATCGTTGGGGTATAATGGTATTTTTGATAAAAATATTTTTTCTCCCTTAGCGCATCTGGTCAAAATTTCAGTTTTAATGATATTTTTTTTAAGAGAGGTTAGATGGAGCCTAGTCCCATTACATAATCTAGAAGAATTCAAATTTTTCAATAATATGATTGGAACTCCCACCTTCAGTGATAATTTATGAGGAGGCATACCAAATGGTGTTTGTGAATTTATTAACTCAGTAGGAAAATGTACTGATTCTTTATTATTAATAACTATATCGTTAGAAAGGTAATCCATTTCTAGTGCTTGAAATCCGCTAATTATTAGCGAGTTTATTGTGTCAGCTCGGTTATTTGTGGTTGTCAAAATAACGCGGTTTTCTATATAATCCTACATAAATCATAGCAACTTTAATCGGTCAACTGCTATTGTTATTATTATATGAATATAGATTTACAAATTACAAGTAAAAAATTATTTTTACCGATTTCAACCCTTTAAAATCAAAATTTTAAAAATCGGGTGACGTGATGACACTTGGTATTTGGAAGGTATTTGGAACAATTCTGTGAAAAAAAGTTAAATAACATCATCACAAAATGGGTACATAAAAAAGGCCTGTTCTTTTATATACATAAGGATATGATTAATTTTTATTAAAAATACTTATAACAGTTTTATTTTATACAGTATTGTATATAATATTTAATTGTAAAAATAAGTTATTTTTTAGTTGAATTGAAGTTTAAAAAATGTGTAGATTCCTAATTTTAATAAAATATTTAAAGTTGGAATTATTAATTAATAATAAGTCTGGAAATATATTTTATCTTTACACTACAGCTGAATTAACATTAATATTCAGAATTTTGCAATTTAAATTTGTCCTATACTTATAAATAGGGCTGAGAATTTGTAGGAAAGTGCATTTTTTTTTTTGGTGATTGTAAAACATAGCTTTGTAAGTACATAATTTGATTTATGTAACTACGAATCCATTTATGCAACTTTTATTTTGCATTTTTTCATGTTTTTAATTTTTTATGTCATTTTTATGCATTTATGCATTTATAGGTCATATTTTCCTTTTTAGTTATTTTTCTGGTATTTTTAATCAAATTCTAAAGATTAAAGACTAAATATGGTATCTGAAAATAAAAATATTAAAGTTTTTTTTATTATTTTAACAAAATAAATACTAAAATATAGGTAGTACATATAGAAAAATCAAATTCAATCAAAATTTTTTTTTTTTTTTTTTTTATTAAATAAACACTTACTTAATGTAAATACTTAAATTTAATGTACTAATGTATATCCTGTACTAATATTAATATAAATATAAAAATTAAATTAAAAACCATTTTATACTATAATTATTGGCATTCTATATTGAATTTTTTTGCATTTTTTTTGAAATTTGTAAGGCATATTTTAAGGTTCTTTAGTGCATTAAATTCACAGCCCTACTTATAAACATACTATATTCGGTTACTTAATATTACAACTATGTTATTTTGTTGTCATTAATTTTCATATGTATTTTTTTAGAAATGCATCCCTCCGTTGTGTGACCTTCTAACAGTGACAGATGCGAAAATTATCCAGGTGGCTTTGAATGGTCTAGAAAATATTCTTAAATTAGGTGAACAATTAGCTAGGCAAACTGGTGCTATTAATCAGTATGCTGTTCTACTCGAAGAATGCTACGGTTTGGACAAAATAGAGTTCCTACAGTCACATGATAACATCGAAATATATCAAAAAGCTTTTGGAATTATTGAACGTTATTTTGGTTCTGATGAAGATGATCCACGTGTTGCGCCATCCACTCAAGAAACTGAACAAGGAATTGAACAGTTTGATTTCAGAGATCAGAGTGTCCCTATGACTAGATTCGAATTCTAAGAACTGTTACAGGAAATATGATTTGATTTTATTCAATTTGTTCATGATTATTATTTGCACATACAATTTATAGAAATAAAACAGACATTCTCTAACTTTAAAAGAAGATTATGACTGTTTGCATTCAACTACTGGCATATTTCCCTAAAAAAATGAAATATAATTTGATCGACATTAATAAATTGGTTTTTTTTTTCGACTATCGTTTTTACATTTGTTGTTTTTATTTTATTCTTTTTCTAATATTATACTCTTATAATTCAAGAAATACTATATTAAAATATTTTTGCTTTAAATTAATATAATTAATTATAATTATCACAAGTTATTGAATTTATAACTTAATATGACTTCTTGAAGCTACATTAATCAGTAATACAAAAATATATTTTGTACATAAATGAGATATGTATGTAGTAATTTTTGTTATAATTGTAATTATTTAAAATAAAGTATAAAAAGTTGCTCTCAGCAAAAATAATATTAGAATTATGTATACCTTACTATGTACAATATAAAGTTTTGTGTCCATGTTGATTTATTGGATAAATGGCAACACTGAAGTTTTATGACCAGGAGTTAAATGAGTCCTTTTAGTATTCTTAAAGTTCAAAGGCGCAATCATTTAATTCAAAACTCTTGCCTGATATTGAAGTGTTCAATCAAAAGTTGTTGGAAAAAATGGTTTAGGTGATCCTCGTAAAATTAATTGACATATAGTAATTATGAAAATGAAAAGAATATGTATTCTACTGATTTGTAAGTATAACTTTTGTAATTATTAAGTAAATTTGGTTACACAAAAAAGATAATAGTAAAATGTATAAAGTTAAAACTAAAAAATATTTTTAATTATTAACTTTTTTTTTAGCATTATTTATTAATATTCGGTTAAAATCCTAAGCTGAATTGCGGAAATACCTATTATTTATTTATACTAAAATCACATCAATCACAAGACTTCAAACATCTCAATAGTACAATAATATGTAATTTTAATTAAATTGGGTTTTAATTTTTTTTTTTTTTTTTAATAGCAATTTTCATGTTGATAAACATGGTTGAACATGGAATCAATTGTTTTTTTTATCTAATTGGTTATTTCTATGACAATAATTTCACTTAGTAAGATCTGAATATACATATATATTATATTTAACGTAGTTCAAGTAAAATCATATATAATTTATATGCTATATAGAGGTGCTTTAATTATCATATCAAGAAGTGAGAAGTTTTCAGGGTGTGTTATTTTAGGTTGTATAATAAATTATGTTCGGATAAAAGAATATTATAATAGTCATGTGATAGTAAGATAGTCATTTGGTAGTAATATACGCCTGTTATTTCTTACCAAGCAAATTAACGATCGTCTAATATTAATAAGTTACACTAAGGTTAGGTAAATTTACTAAATGGTAAATATCATCATATTCAATATGTACAATATACGTGTGACTGTATGTATTAATTACACAAATTATACAATAATTACACGTAAATATACCCATTACATATTTTTGTAAATTTAATCAAAATACAGCAAATGTTGCCTTTTTCAATTTTCTATATATTATAAGCAGTTGGTCGTTTGTTTTACCGGTGTCATTAAATTGCGTATTTCATGAAGACATAGATAATATTGTACTTGAAGTGCTTTGCATGGAACGGCTAAAAATTATTAAGTCCACTATGACACCGTTAGCTCCCATTTTCCGGGACTTGGGTGTGATAAACGTATTCTTGTCAACTGAAATAATATTTGAATTTTGTCAAAGTTCATTAATATTTCGGACATCAAATATTTCGAGTCATACTTTAAACTAATGCGATTTGCTTTTTTTTTTTTTAATTGAGTACGAATATTGCTTATAAATCAAATATTATTTAAATATAATGTTGAAGAATTCGTAATAATCGATCGTGTTACGAAACTAACTGTGACAACTTGAAATCAAAATTTAACTAATGCACCGCGTTGAATGTTAATTTTAAAACAAACCGTACTACAGTTATTATTAAAATAGTAGAAAATGGGTAATACAATTTTTATATATAATGCAGTATTCGACTATATTAGTTATTAATTATAACTGGACATATCTTTTTTAAATATCACGTATTATACGTACTCCGAAACATTTTTTAAGAGCCAAAGTGGTCATAGTCAAGCTGGTCGCCGAATATATTGTGTCTGTACTTGTGAACACTGTAATTATGTGTACGATTTTAGCTTTAGGAAAGATCAAACATTCAACAATGAAGCTGCTATATTCCCGAATCCACCCGCAAATAAATGCAATGAGTACACATCACAATTTTTATGTTGTGATGTATACGTAATTTCACATTTTTTTCGAAATAAACCGTACGCGTCTAACTAGGCGCATACACAAAAATTATTTTGGGAGAGGTTTTAGATTGTACATTTTCATAATAATATAATCTGTATACCAATTTTACTATATAAAAACATTTAATCATTTTCCTGAATTACAGGAAAGGTTTGAACCCCTAAAACCTCCCTTGTGTAAGCGCCTGCGTCTAACATTTAACTGACATAACGCATAATTCTAAACGAACTCTGCGAGTATTTTGGTACAGGCACCAATGTTTTTGCAATAGACTTGTTTTCTGTTTGATATTTCTCACGTGTTCAATATTTAGTTTTCATACCCCAATTTATGTGCAATTGATTTACAATGAAAGTACATGATAATAAATACAATCGAATCGAATTAAATATTCGTTCTAAATGTTTTCGTATACAAAACGACTATGGAAATACCTCCAGTTTTAGGCAGGTATATAAATAAAATATTTTTCAGGAACAGGAGCTATCGAAAACCAATCCTGCGAGGAGACGCCGTTCATTGTCCGTCTTATAGCTTTCGCCGCAGGAGATTTTATTTGACCTAACACCGTGCGTCCACACACTTTTCCTGAGCATAATAAAACCTTTACCTCCCGTCGTCTTATCGTGATTTCACACGATTTATCATCGCGATTTGTGTCACCGCAGCGCACAAATTATACCGGTTCGTTCACAGCGCGCTATAATAATTATAATACATTTACAGACGTGGTATGTAAATACAAGTTATAGTATTGGATTATTATACTGTTCGATTCGTGAACTTTGATAACAAACGTGTATTAAGGACGTTTCTTAACTGTCGTATACAATACACATACCACCTCCGGCTCGATACATAGCACGTCACGACCGCTACATATTATATCCGCGTATACACCTATCCCGAGCAAATGAATTAACGTGCACAATCGTAAAGTCCGGAGAGAATAATGTGGCACCTGAAATAAGTTTATAAGGGTCTAACAAAAAAAAAAAAAAAAAAAAAGAGAGAGTAAATGAGTAAATAACGATCTTGTGATATAAGGGTCTATACTACACTGTACAGTCAAGACATGTATACTTAATAAGTCACCATCATATTTGGTCGGATATTGACGAACGCGTTTTAAATTCATCGTTCCGCACATTTATATAAGTGTATGTGTGTGTGTATTATAATGTTTAACACTTTTTTCTTCGTATTTTAAAACCGATGCTTACAATATACTTCTATCAATAATAACTTTGATGGGGCCACGGACAAACTTCCTTCGGTTGTTTCCGCCAATTGGGCGTTGTCCGCTGCTGCTTCTGCTGTTGTTCTATACGCATACATCTATATAGGTATACATAATATATACGTAAAACGTACGCATTAATTTAATGGCTACCGTTGAGTAGCATTGAATGATTCCGTCCGTTTGCATTAAAGTAAATTATTTATACATTTATTATTGGTGCAATAATATTCATACAGTTGCTAATAATAATAAAAAAAAGAGGGGAAAACTGTAAAATGTAAGGGTGGGCCTCACAAAACCAAATCGCAATTCTGTCGGAGACGCGTATACAATTATTTGTCTCTTGAGTTTACTATAAAAACTATACGATCGGCCGTTAAAAAAAAAAGAAAAAAGTTGTTTATCAAAATGTCAACTGACGTAACGCACAGACGTTATCCAATAAAACAATAACGATTTAACTCAACTGTCACCGGGTATAGAGAAATGTTTCAAATTTTTAAGTGTTAAAACATCCCCTTGACCACGTTAACATTTTGAATAGGTTATTCGATGTAGTATCTTGATTCTTTAGATTTGTTCGGTGATAACTGATAATACTTAGGTAAATTTCTTGTAATTTATAAACGTTTCTCGTTTTTATATTATTAATTTCGTTGATTAACAAAAAAAAAAAAAAAATACTGTACTTGAGCCTTTGGCTTAAATTTAATAAATTAATAAAAATAGATTGTTGATATAATAAAAAATATAACATTATATCTATGAATGTAAATACTTTTTGTGAAAATTGTGTGGAGGAGATCGGTTATATTTCAGATAGACCTTATTTATTTTAATAGTCTAAAGAAGACGAAAAAAAATATAATTGCTTGATTATGATATTATAAACTATTAATCTGTGACTAAGTTCAACATGTAAAAAAATATTTGCAATATGTATACTATTGTGTGAATTGCGAATGTATAGTATACACGTTATTTAAATATATATATATATATAATATTATATTTCAACCTATCTTACAATTTTTATTTTTCTCACATTTATTGATATCTTTCGATACAACTATTGCATGTTACTTGGAGTTCAGCAGTCGAAAAATGTTAACACATCTAAAACATTAGAAATCGTCATAAAAAACTACTATAATTCGTACTGAAAAGGTAGCTGTTAGCTTATTGGGGTCGTATCCAAAAAGGAAATTCATTATTTTCTTTCATTATATTGACGAGCGAAAGAGATGAGCGTGAAAAGTCGTTTCATTTAATGTATTAAAAAATACAAATATACTTTTCTAATATGTATCTATTAAAACATCGATTAATTACAATTTATTCGAATACACTATAGCTATATATTATCCATAGTCAGAAAACGACATTACAATAGATATAAGGATTTAAAGTACTTTAAACACGTGTTCCCTATATGTCAATTATACAAACCGATTTTTACATTTTAATTTGTTTTTTCTTGCTAAAACTAGTATTTAAGCTAAGTTTTAAAAAATAGGTGACTGTTAAACGGATTTTAACCTAATATTAAATTGTAATATACGAACTCGGTCACTATACCGGGTATAAAGATAATTTAATTTCCCGTAAAACCTGGCATACTTATTAATGTGTTAATACTCTCATTCTGGATGTAAAAAAAATAATAATAAAAAACGAGTTGTTTTCGTTCTATACCGTGCACCAAGTGTGGTCGTAACTACTGATTTGAAATGTCAGCATTTTTTATGGCCCCTGCAGCAACCTTTAATGGAACAATACATGATTGTCCCTCGGGGATTTATTAAATGTCATCCGAAATTGGGTCATAAAATATCTGCAACTACCACATATAGCCGCGCTAAAATGCAAAACGTATTATTGAAAAATTCACTTGGCCTAAAACTGTACAATCGATCTTCACCGTGCACATACAGACATCGTATCATCTTAGTTCGTAAAGTGCAATATTTTATAGGATCTTTGTTATCGAGTATAATGGCTGATTCATAAGAATTAATGAGTTACATGTATCGATCATGGTTCCTATATGAATCTGAAATAATTCCTATCTACTCTTAAAAATTGTTTCAAAAGACAAGCAATATTTATTATAAAATTTCCCATCTGCAATCGAAAAAATAATATACAATTTAAAATCCATCCAAGGGCCATATTTTCTTTTTTGATTATTTCATTTAGACAAGTCAGACGTTGCGTCAAATTTAAAAGAACCTGTATAATATAGTACATTATAAGGATGTATGCTATTATTTTTACAATTATAGTACACTTGATAAGATTTTTTCACGGTGTGCTCAATTTTTCACCTACCATAATATGCACTGAGTTTCCCGAGGGAGAAACGTCGTGTATATTCCTGGCCGTAGTATAAATAGAGATCCTCCCATATCCCATTAAAGGCATTTAACAAAGTTATTTCAACCGTTGAGACTACAAGAGCTGATTTTTTCCGAGGGGATTTTAGTGTACCTAATAATATACACATTTTGGGATACATATCAGTGAAGTATACGATTTATTGATTGCTGCAGTTGTGGTTTCGGTACAGACTACATAGATATTAACCCTGAACAGTAAAATCCGAACCATAGTTCAGTATGAAAGTTTATATATTTCAGTATTAAGTGGAAAGAAAGTTCGGTATCGAATGGATAAAAAATTGTTAATATAATATTCTGAAGATTGTGCATTTCAACTGAACAGTGTTCATTTTACGATGTATAAATAATATATTATGAAATCCTGATAGTCATATATATATATAATAAGTACATGCAATTTAAATAGTATACTTGTATCGCGCTGTTTGTATTATGTATTATGATTTGTAACAATTCAGCTGTGTATACATATAATATATAAATATAACTCCGCTGGATTTATTACTCATTTGTGATTTGTACTTCAATCAAGTTCTCCTAAACAATTAATAATCGTTATTAAGAAATGTTTCACATATTTTAATTAGGTATTCGAGAAATAAAATATAATTAATTTAATGGATTTATCATTTATTACAATGTTTTTAAAATATTAGTATATTACCTAATAGTGTTTTTTTTTTCTCGTAGTATTGTGAATTTGTAAATTATTAAGAAACGGTTTACTTTAGATTTAAATGTTTATTTTAGACTTTTGGACGTCCATGGTGCACAGTCAAAATGGAGATTCAAACGAAAAACCGATGGGCAGAAAATTATGTCCTCCGATGGAAAACGTTCCTCAGCCTATCAACCGGGTCAACACATCTGCTATCATTCGCGAGTAAAAACACAAAATACATTTGAAATCTTAAGCTATGCGTTCACACATGAGCAGCGCCCCTCATCAATATCGGCATGCCACTGCGGCTGTTCATTCGCTGGATCGGTTAACCGTTTGATGAATCTTAGAATTCTAAGAATATTATAATTTTATATGAAGGCGGGAAAGTTACAATCGCTTATGAATAGAAATCATAAGTTTTACCAATCTGTAATAATTATTTCAAATTTGGCAATTATCACGATTCGTAGCAACTGTAATAATTAGAGTAACCATAAAAATTATTTTAAGGGACATCTCTAAAAAAAATAATAATAACTCGAATTCACCATTTTAAAATTCTAGATATGCCACTAATGCTGTCCTGCAGTTCTCATCCTACAGTAATAGTATACATGCTCTAGGTGAACGTGACTCACAGCTTAAGAATGTATTGTAAAGAACGAATTGTAATACATAAACTGATACATTGAGTAAAATAATTGTATAATTGTATAGACAGTTTAAACAGAAAGTACTGACAACAATCTTAATTTAAAAACTAATAGTTATTATAATTATTTTAACGTAATCTGTGTACATTGATATGTTTTATTTAATATGTACGTACAACCCTCATACTCTTCAGATATAATTATTTAATATTTATTCTGTTATTATGAAACATATTATAACTATACCTATTGTTACTATGTATCATATAATTTTGTAGTATAACATAAACTTTGAACTATACCAAAAAAAAAAAACTATCAAATTAACAAAACTAAACATGTTTAAGGTTGAGATTGGAAATGAAAAAAAATGCATTCCACGGACCTCCAATCGATGCGTACATCGTACCTGATACAGATGAACATCAAGTAATTATTTATTGAAAACCATTATATTTTTAAATTCGGTTCTAAATTATTTGGAAACTTATATAATATGCGTATAAGGATGTTACGAATATTACATTTTTTATGATAGAGAATAATTTTACTTAGTATCTATATTATAAATTATAAATGTATATGCAATAAAATAATTTTTTGAACACAATTATTATTTTTATTTTATGTATTTATTTATTAATTCAAACGGCCAAGCCCAGTAACAGTTTTAATTCAAAAATTATAGCAAATATTAACAATTAGAAAGAAAAAGAGAAACAGAGTGAGATTAAGAGATATTAAATATACAAAATAGCGAATAGTTAAGATTAATAATAAACAGTAATTAATTATACTTTGCCTACGCATTAATTATATTTTACAGGTAACTAATAATAAAACGCAATTATATTCTTCTTTTATTTACTATAATTCATTTCATTACGGCGAATATTTCAAAGTATATATATTTTGAAAATTTAACACCCAGGAATAATAAAAATCCAGCACACTTAACATAGGCCGAAGTATAGGGTATATTCATAAATGTTTTCATTTTTCATAATCTTAGGATCGCTTTTATACCAACGGCGCCTGGGGTAAGCATACCCACTTGCCCACCCTCCTTTGATCCGGCAGTGTCGACATAATTCTTTCTTGTTTTCCCAATCATAGTTCATATAATATATGAATATACCTAGGTATTGTAAACATTTATAAATTCATATTTTTCTTGTTGTCATATTGTGCGTCAAGTGTATCTTTTTTCTTTTGGTTAAGATGAAAACAAGATGATTCTACCAGCTTATTTCAATTCTTACAAGCTAAACAATATATTTTGAAAATATTTCTCCTCTTTTTTTTTTTTACTAAGCTATTTTTTTATTACTTTTAAACTCGTAAGTTTCGTACGAGATTAGTAGATCCAAATAAAATATAGCCGAGAAAAAGAGACATCATTTGGTGTGTAAGAAAAAGGATCACCCGTATTTGTAGGTTATCACATTGTTAAAAATACATACATATTATACATAATATAGTATTATACGTATATCTCAGTTGATTGTATAACCAATGAACCAATTAAATTAATGTTTTTGATTATTCTATGTTTCCGTAAATTTAACTATCATTTGAATACCACTATACTGTCTATAAAACTTATTCTGATTACGAAATTGAGTCAATTTTTCGATAAAATGTATGCGCGAAATAACTTATGCGCATAATATTTTAATTTTCACTACAGCAAAAAACTACATTGTATTCACCTATAGAATGAAGATGTTGCGGACCACGACAAGAGGCTTAAATACTTGTCGGGATTCAGTGGCACCGGTGGGGTGGCAGTGGTGACACAAACCAAAGCTGTTTTCTGGACCGTTTGGATGTACTACAAACAGGCGGACGAAGAGTTGTCCTGCGACTGGCAGCTGTTTGTCTACGGGGATTCGGTACGTATGAACCAATGATAGAACCGATTGTAAGCCGACCAACCATAAAATTAACCAAAATAGTAAAATTGGTACGAGTTGTATATTACATATGATAATTGTGATTGCTATTACGTAATCACACTTAGGGCACTTGATTCTTGTATATTTTACCGACAATTATGTTATGTTTCGGTGTAAGCAGAAAAGGCTAGATGAATGGTTGCTCGACGAGTTTAAACCGAATTCACGAGTGGGCGCCGACCTGAAACTCATTTCGAACGGTGACTGGGAGTTCCTGTACAGGGCGCTGGCGAACGGGTCCATAATTTTGGTACCCATCAACAACAACTTAATAGACTTGATATGGGTGGACAATCGACCTAGTTATCCGACACGTGAAGCATATGTCTGGCCCCTGGAGTACGCTGGTTGGTATAAGTGTTACATTGTGTTTACACATTTAAAATTAGCATGTTTTTTTTCGTATTCTATTTTTGATTGCATCGAGTTGAGAAAACTAATGTCTCGCAGACATAAAAAATATAATCCGTTAAACAATACAGCCTAGTTTACTAAATATGCACTGGAAAAATTTATTAGAAAATATTACAAGATGTTAGAACATTTTTTTTTGTATTTCATTGCTCATCAGTTGTACTGGCGAGAAGATAAACATAAATTTTTGATTTTCAAACATAAGTAACTAATATTTTTGTTCGATTTTCGTCGTCCTACTTTTTAATAATCGACGAATGACCGGCCTCCAATTCATGAATTGTGTTTGCGTAGGCGATTTTAAATTCTAAATTTATAGAAACTTTTTACTTTTCGTGTTCAACTTATTTTTACCTAAAACAATAATAATCTTAGTCAAGACAAATTATCTCGCACACGAAATACGTCAGTGCATTTTTTAACTAATTAACTAGGCGACACAAATGTCATCCAGTGATTATACTCTGTCGACAATACTTTGAAAGATTGGGCGAAATAATGCGAAACAAACATATAATACTATAATCGTACCAGTGGCGTATTTAGAGTGGTGATATGGGTGTTGGAACACCCTCCATCGACCGTATTTTATGGTATTTCACCAAATTGCAAACTTACAGTAAGTATATATTTTAAATAAACGTAAGTATATGTAAAATCATTTAATAATTAATAATAATTTATATAAATACATGGTATTTATAAATGTAATACGTAGGGGGCAGAACCCCCACTTACTATAAGTCTATTCAATTTTAAAACACCCCCATTTAATGAATCCTGGATACGCCACTGAATCGTACTATGGTATTACATTGACTATTTTGAGAAAAACATTTTTTGTCACCCAATGAAAATTCTTTATAAAATGCACTGAAATACGTGGGCATATTACGCCGATTTAAACGTGCTTTGTGTACGCACGTATATTGAACAGGTAAAAAATGGCAAGACAAGTTGGACGCGACCCGTGAGAAATTCCAAGTGATGGGGTTCGATGCGATGGTCGTCACGGCTCTGGACGAGATCGCGTGGCTCTTGAACATTCGCGGTCACGACATACCTTACGGCCCGTTCCTCAAGTCGTACGTCATCATCAGCAAGGATCAGTTGCATTTATACACCAATCCCGCGAAACTCAGCCCGGACGTTCACAAACATCTGCACACGGCGAATTGTTTTTCAGCCCACTGCGCCAGGTAAGATCACGATCAAATTTGTAGCCTTATTGTTATTATGTTATTACGCCGCTTGGATTTTGTTAAAATATTCTTTAAATGTGCGCTTCTGCTGAACTATAATAATTTTATTTGATTACAATGGTTTATACGTACTGTTCGATGACAATTCGCTAGATTATTGGTATATATGTACTTTTGCGCAAACCACTAAAACTAAATAATATTTATTTTATCAAAAGTATTAAAAACGGTTACGGAACGAAATTTGACATTATGTTAAATGTATTGTCCTAATTCATACTTAAATTAACTATGGATAAATTCAAAAGATTACCTCTATGGGCTGATCTAGGGGGATCCATGAAGTCAGCTGACCGAAAGTTAATATTTAATGCCAAAACTAGCCTCTTGAATATATCCTATATTTTTTAATTGTACCGATTATTAGGTGAAGTTAATACTAGATTGAGGCATATGCCCCAGATGTACCCTCCCCTAAATGAAGTCACTGGTTTAATTGTATAGTACAATAAAACATTTCTATGCCGGACCCCATGTAAAATGAAATCCTCCATAAAATAAAATAAATGTTAATGTTTACAATGATAATTATGAATAAACATAAAAACACATATTATATAATCATATTGTATTTTTTGTTACAAAGTATACATTTGTAATTCAGTTTTAGTCCTAACAAGTGGCTTCTTAAAATATCCCGACCTAGTGTTCTCTAACTGTGGATCCGCCCTAAGCTGCACTGAAAAATTGATCAATATATTTAACGAAAAAAAGTTTTGATTTTTACAAGCACGCTAATAATTATATGTTTTGGTACGTTTTATTAAAATTTCATCAAAACATTTTTCATTCTTATTAAAAAATATAGATAATCTTTCTTTTTGATTTAATCAAGAGATAAGGTGTCGCGGCGACATTGGGTGCCGCAGTCTGGTGGTTTATGAGAGATAAAGGCGCGGTCAGTAACAGACGTTTTTAATGATTAGCAATACATGTTAGCTAATGTGTAATTTTTCATTTAGAAATTAGAAATATCAACTCTATCCAGATAATATTAAAAAAAATTAAATAAAAGTTTTTGTTAGTATTCTGTATACTATAGTATCGCAATAATAAAGCGTCGAACGGCCAGAGTATAATAACTTATAATAATTTAAGTTTAATTAGTAATTTTAATATTAATGTCTACCTAATATGTGTATTTTAGATAATTATATGTATATATCAGCCACCAAGTATTGGATAGTGATATTAAAACAAAACAGGTGCAAAGATAATACATATTTATAACTAAGGAAAAAAAGCGAAGTTTAGGAAAATTATTGAAGTACCTCGTAAATTAAAAGTTTGGATAATGTTGATATCAGTGCATTTTTTGGACAGATTTTTTTTCGTTGCTGAATATAACAATTCTAATTTTAAGCATGTCGTTTTTTTAATTTTTGAAAGTTTCTTTAAGGAATATAATATTTCTTGAGGTTCTCACACTGTTTCCAAAGTTGACTAAAGGTAACTTATGAATAGATCTACATTTTTCAAACTTAAATTATCTAATCTACATTTTTTTTTAAATTATCCTGATGGAGTTTATATTTCTTATTTATAAACGAAAAATCACATATTAAACAAATATGCATGGCTAATGTCAAGAGTATCCAAATATTAACATTACCTGTAACATATATACAAAAATATGTATATTTAAAATATTGTATAAACCAGGGACTGAAACTTATAGGTTTTTTCAGTTTCGGTTTCGGTTTTGATTGTTCAATTAATTTTTTAAGGGTTAGGTTTTAGGGTTTTAGGTTTCGATTTTTTAAAAGAGTAATGGTTCTAGAACCGGTTAATTTTGGTTAATTCTGATTATTAGAGATTTATTAAAAAATAATATGAAATTATTTATTTATTATTTATTCTTGTTTAAATTTTTTTTGTTTCATTTCATGAAAATAGAAGATATTATGAATAGTTAAAAAAATAATTATAAATTTATTAAATATGTAAATTATATCAGCCTATTATATTTCTTTGAGATAGGTTATTTTATTCCAACTCATAGTAAGAATTTGTAAAATATTTTGTAATATTGTGAAATATTATGATTTGATGAAATAAATATCTTTAATTTTAATTAGGAATCAAAGTTAATACTGGCTACTGTTGTAATTACAAATTTTTTATAAACATTAATTTTATTTAATGCTTAATTGATAAGATGCATAATATACTCATAATATACTCATTGTAAATTGTAATATACTATAATATATTATATGTATGTTTATTATAATAAACATACAAAAATGATAATAATAATAATAATAATACAAATTTACTTATTATATGCATTACACTATTACAGTTTATAACACAAAATAATAAAAATATAAAAAGATTTGATTTTTATTTTTCTGAACCGACAAATGGACAAACAAAATAGTCATTATCATAGTTTTACTAGGTAGTATAAATAACTGACCTAAATTAACCCTTTTATAATTAAGGTTATGTTTACGGTTTTTCATTTTTGGAAATAAAGGTTCCGGTTTCAGTTACGGTTCCTAAATTTTAAAGGTTAACCGGTTCCAGTACCGGTTTTTTTCGGTTACGCTTCTGGTCCCTCGTATAAACGCGTTCTACACCTCGCTCAGAATCTACAATTTTTTCTTATTTTATACAAGTAACAAGTAATGATAAGAAATAGTTAACCTTATCTAATCACGTCAATATGCTGAGTTTATATTTGAAAATTATATTTAAATATTTATAAATTTACTATAGACCCTCTCCTCGTAAAATAATGTCAAATATGCCATATAGTTATTTGATTTATGAATCATATTCAGTACATGTATTGAAGTTATTCTAATATATCTACATTAATTATTTATAAATCGAAAATAAACGTATGTACTATATATGATAGGGTTCATGATTATGAAGCTATATGGACCGACTTGAGGACATTTTCGCAAGTGTGGAGAAAAGTGCTCGTACCGTCCGCCACAGAGTACAACAACGGTGCGAGTAGATGTATTTATATTTTGGTGAGTTTTGTATTTTTCTATCTAGTGTATGGTGTATTTATTATGACTACATAATTTAAATGAATGTATTTGTATAATGTATTGTCAGTGGTGTTTTCAGGGTTGTGTTAAAGGGGGGTAAAGGAGGGTAATTTCCCCCGGATGCCGTAGTTTTATAAAATTAAAGGGGCGCCCTTATCTGCACTTAATATGCTACTTGTACTCAGTGGCACTGAAGAAAAAATTTTGCCCCGAGGCGTTGAGACGTTTGACACGGCTCTAGGTGTTTTAGAGAAGGTAGAAGGGTGTACGCTGTGTACTCATTTTTTAAGTTTATTATACGTATACTCACTAAAAATACAATGATAAATGGGAGTAAGACCATATAGTCCCATATATCTATAATATTAAACTATTCAGATGAAGAAAACATAATATAGGTCTTTCAATTTTCAATTCTCATTTCTTATCACAGATTTATAATTTATAAATGTTTACACACTCGTGATTCTCATCACCAAAAATATTTCGAGGACAATAAAACAAAGAAGAAATATTAGCTTTAAACATAAAATTAAATATGAAGTTCACCATCTACAATATTCGATATTTGAATATTTATTTTTAATCCAAAATTCTTGTTCCTAAATTGTACGTATGTGCAGTGAACTTTTTAAGTGATAAATGATGTACTAATTTATACATTTTAAATTTAATTATCAAATTAATTTTTTTATATACAAACTAGATACTTAAAATATTTAAAATTAAGATGTGAATTAAAGTAATAATAGTTATTCCGAACCAGGGCTGGCGTAAGGCTAAATGACGCTCCAGGCCAAAATGCCAACTGACCTTTTTTCATACAACATGTAATATTATATAACTTAGAAAAAAATGTTGTTCGTGGACAGAAATTCGGAAAAATTATATAATATACACAACTTGTATATATTTCGCTATCGTCTATTTTTTAATCACGAGTCATAATTGCTTGACGCGATCCCGATTAAAAGATAACAAATATTCGGAAATTTTTATATTTATAGAGCAACATATATGATAAAAACTTCTATGCTAAACCATAGTAAATATATTTAAAATATACTTATATTATTTTAATACATGGTTAAACGAAATGACCATTATAATTATCAATATTTCAATACAAAGTTATAGACATTTTATATAAAAAAAAATAATAAAATAATATTATCGACATATGTGCAAGATTGTAAAAATCAATTTCGGCACCCCTCTAAAAATGGCGCCCTAGGCGACCACTTGAGTTGCCTTACCCTCACGCCAGCTCTGTTCCGAACGAACTAAAAAAAGTATTTTTACCTCATTATGAGGTATATTTTCACTTACCTACCCACCTTAAAAAGGCCCACAATTTTTTTTTTAGCAATACATCACTGTATATTAATATGGATAATTGAGTGATTTTTCAAACTTAAAATTATTATACCACAATATTCCTTTTTTCGGATTAACATATATATATACTGATTACTTTATTTGCTTTTTTGTGTATATTTACCACCCTTGTTCCACCCTTGTTATCTTTTAGCAATGATATTGGTATATCCAGTGACATAGCTAAGGGGGTTTGTAGGTTCAATCTCCCGGGCGAGTACGTTTTCGACCAAAACCGTACCCTTCCCTTTTCGGCCGATTAACTTTTCGACCAAATTTAAAATAGGCCGATTCCCTTCTCGACCAAAACAAAAATATATTTAATAAATTTAAGATAATAAAATAATAATATTCAATGTTTGATTATGATGAAAACTACTATAATAAATTAATGACGATTCAGGGTTTTACTCACGTAGCGAGGTTTTAGGTTCACATACAGAGCATAATCCCATTTGCAACAGTATCAAGGTTTATATAAAAACTAGGTTAGGCTTAGACTATAATTCTCCTTGGGGCGAAGCTCCATCCCCTGAAAAGTGGCACGCACTGGCACTCGAGTTGGTGAGTGGATCTGGCAGGCGTAACGAGCGAAGACCTAAATATTTAAAATTAAAATTCCGATTTTTTGAGAAAAAAATTCAAACAATTTTCATTACGATAAGAGATCAAAGTTAGATACAAAATATCGTTCTCTTTTATATTAATATTTTAATAACTATTGACAAAAATTGTACATAACTATTTTATTATTTTAAATTTATTACATAAATTTTTGTTTTGGTCGAAAAGTGAATCGGCCGAAAAGAGAAGGGTACGTTTTTGGTCGAAAACGGCCATGCTCAATCTCCCCATTTCCAAAATCTCAGTCAATAAATATATAGATAATAATAAATGTATAATTACCTAAACATATCAACCTTCCCCCCATAAATAATCTTTACCTACACTCTTGGGTGTATCATTATATTTGTTCACCCAAAAACACAATCAAAAATAAAATGTATTCCATTAATACGTTTAATAGTTAAGACCTAATCGAAAGTATATCGATTACATTAATTGTCAAATAAACAATGTGTCATGAATCATGAATTAAAGACCGGATATAATTGCATTAAAAATATCTTAAAATTGCACTAAAAAGATGCCAAAATTGCAATGAAAATGTATCAAAATTGCAGTATAAATATGTTAAAATTGCAATGAAATACATTAAAATTACATGGTAAAATCATATCAAATATATAATCATTAATTACTTACTTAAATAATATTATGGACATCAGTATAATATTTACAAAATATATAATTTTTCTGAATTAAAATTTATAATTATATACATCTCTAAATTGTGTTCTTAAAAATTGTATCGTCTGTGACTTAAAATATGTTTATATAATGAAAAAGTACGTTCAACGTCAACACTTGTTATCGATGCATATTTAAAATAGTTTAAAAAATTGGGTGATGTATCTAAATAAACATTTTGATTTCCTGTCATCATCTCAGAGTTATTTTTAATTGTTTTATATCCTTCATTTTATTCTAAGACATTTTAATTTATCTTTAACTATTTTTCCATTGGGACCGGGAATATTTTTATAAATATTTATACTAAATATATTTAAACTATTAAGTAATTGACTATTTGATTCTTCTAAACTTGTGAATTTTTTGGATAACTCAGATAAATATAATTTTAAAAAATTTTAAAAACTACATTTAACTACTTGTAAAAGTTTACGTCTTGGTTATATTTTTTATGTAAAATCACTTTAGAAATAATAATTTATATATTTTATCACGTGAAGTATATAAAAATTTCAAAATCATTTAAAATTGCAAAAAATTACATTATTAAATTAAATAGGAAGACTGTAACTAATCTGTTTTGTATATATATTTGATCAAATTTGATTTACAGAGTATCAATAAAAAGTTGCAATATCAATTAAATCCACTCTTTAATCATGATATACGCCTGTAAAAATAATCTTCTTCCGTTATCAAAATATATTTATAGCTTCATGCTCATCAATCATAACTTTTGTATTGATATTGTGGTATATAGTATAATTTCTTTGCACTTCAAACGTGTTTCAATACCGCGGTATTCGTTAGGCAATGGAAGTATATAAATAAACCTACTTACTTACATATATTATTAATTTCCGTTTATTCATTCGACTGTTATAATATAGATCAATGCCGAAAAGAGAAAGCAAGCTCCTTCGCCTATCATGTACATGATGGCAGAAAAAAATTCCGTGGAAAAGGAAGGAATGCGACTTTCGCATATAAGAGATTCCGCGGCAATGTGTAATATTTTGGCCAAACTTAACGAACAAGTACCTACCGATTTTCTGATAACAAAATAAAATGCTAATTAATTTTTATAATTATACGATATTTAAGCGTTTGATTTCGACAATGTATTATATTATTGTTAAACATTGTATTGTAATCAAATAAAATAGTTTTCCATAAATTGTATGTTTTTACAACAGTTTAAAAACGGGCAGCAATTAACCGAGCTTGCCGTAGCCAACATGGTGGATAAGTATAGGGACGAACAAAATTTCAGCCGAGGTGCAAGTTTCAAATCCATCGTGGGGTACGGTCCTAACGGGGCTATACCTCATTACACACCATCTTCTGCAAGCAGCTTGAAACTCGACCACATCAGCACATTGGTAATCGACAGTGGTGCTCATTATTGGGGTGAGCTTGACATTATACAATTTTTTGGTTCCGAACATCCGACTTTTTGATCCGTCGCTATTAAAACGCGACCTACTTACACTACTCGCCGGCTCCTGCACGCTATCACCATTTTGATTTTAATAATAGTATATTATAGGTGGTACGTACTCTACGCACGTTGAGTTACTATCGGGTTTAGACAACGGGCTCACCCAATAGAAAGTAAAAAGTTTCATCTATTTGCGTATGCGAAATTTATAAACTGTCGTCTAATATACATATATTTACTGACGTCATTGGTAATCGAAAGTGTTTTCTATTTGTATTGCCTTCAGATGACTGTAAGTGACACTACATGCCGTAACCATAACAGTTGGTTTTCTAAATATACTATTTATGTAAATTTTAGATAAGGTATATCTTCTACGTTAATATTTTAATAAGTAGGTAGTGGCATGTCCATCGACCCAGTAATGGGACTCACTTACGCTATCACCAGTCACCGAATTTCGTAAATTATATATTTCTATAAAATTGTATTGAATGCTGATATTATGAATACATTATAATCTTGTTGTTTGGGCTCGTTCCGTATACATACATTTAAATAAATAAATATTAGTAATATATATTATATTACATATTTTATACGTTGTGTATAAAGACATTCTGTAGTATTTAGTATTAGAATTGCACCCATGCGGAGCCGGGGTGAATCGCTAGTACATGATAAAATAAATCCGGAAGCATCTTCAATGGACATGGGACGCTCGTTTTAACATTTTTGTTAATATTTGTTAGTCATGTTCAGTTTTTCTCCGCTTACTTCCTAAATATATGGAGCCCATTACCTAATCTAACTGCCGGCTCATAAAAAAACTGTGTATAAGCTATAACGAATGTTTAAAAAAACTAAAGTACATTTACAGACGGTACTACGGACGTAACGAGGACTGTGCACTTCGGACAGCCGTCTGCCGAACAAATCGAAGCGTACACGCGGGTGTTGATGGCGTCAATTGATCTGGCATCATTTACGTTTCCACAAAGTTTGAAACTTAATCAGATCGACGTCATTGCTAGAGCACCGCTCTGGGACTTCGGTTACGACTACAGACATGGTACCAGCCACGGAATCGGAGTGTTCCTTAAAGTCCATGAACGTAAGTATCATGAAGGCTAATGCGACGTCGCATTATAAAACGAATGTACAACGAATGTGCACATACGAATCATGAATTGTTCTTGGAAAATAATATATCCAAACCAGTAATACATAATTACTATTATCCATTAATAACCGGTTAACTATGGTAATTATATCTATACAAATTAAAAATAACACTGACAAAGTTATACACAAGACAATATAATGCATGGGTACATGTCATTAAAAATTCATCTCCCTTCAATTATCTGCTAGCCTATATCAGTCCCATTATTATTTTAAATTTACAATGATAAATTATTGAGGTAGTCAGTAAATTATTCGTGCTAAGTTCGCGGTTTACAACACATAATGAAATTTCATATATTAAAGTTTTTAAACTCTCGACCTAGAAATGGTCTACCTTTTTTTTTCAATATAATGCATTTCTGCATAAAATGTAATATTTCGTGTTTTTAGAAGTTTAAACAAACTAATAAACAAAATATATTTAATTTACAAACGACTGCAGTTAATAATTTATATAAGTTATATAGTGTTCAACAATTTCCTGTAATATAAGACCAAAGATTTCCAAAAATACCACATGACACATATATTCTATACTTATATTATAATACCCTTTCGTGTTTAATTTCCAAACTTTTGAGACGTTTTATAAAATTTTGGAGTAGAGTGCACTTTTTCTATAACCAAAATAATGGGTAAAAAACACAAATGCAAAATTAATTTACAAATTATAAGAATAGACATTTAAAAGTCAAATAGATATTATTAAAAATCTTATAATTTGCAAATGCACAAGTGTAGTGAGGGTGGATTTTGAATGTTACGCAAAAATACTCACTACCAAATAAAATCTAATACTGGTCTAAAAGTAGAAAGTGCATTGAAATATCTGTATATCGTGTTCGTTATATACGTATGATATACTAGTATAGTATTGTCAGAAAAATATTATATATTTTTTTTTTAAATGGGAATGTACGTTGAATGATGTACATTTCTCAAAATAATAAATTGTTATAGACTATGAAGTTATTTATTTTTTTAAAAAATTTCAAAACAAAAATTAAAATAGTGAAAATAATAAGTGGTACTACCAGAAATGCATAGACAGTGACGTGTTTTCGTGAGAGTTCTCTGATCTCAACCCTCATTAGTAGAAAAATAGGTTCAAAATTCATAAATTATTTGCTACAAAAGTACAAAGATAAAATTTAATTCATATCATGTGGTTATAATGTTTGTATAAAAATATTCTTATAGTAATATAATTATTTGTACATATTTGATATATATATTTTATGTTTTAAAATAATTTATTTTTTAGAAGAATGTTGACCCCCTCCCCACAAAAATTTTTAAAATACACCACTGCGTATAGATATAATTTTTTAATAAATTTAATTATAATATACTAATTTATCCTATACAGGCCACTTCAAAATGGTTCGTCCTTATACAAACAAATGTATAAAATTCTAATGAATTATATTAATATACGTTATCAAGATCAAGTCCACGCAGAAAATTAAAATAACCAAAATTACAAGAACAACGCTTATTTCCCAAAATAATGAAAAAAAAATGAATTTCCTTGATCAATTCAATGATTATTTCAGTCCGTGCAATATAATATAAGCTATAAATTTAAATATAAAAGTATCTTATTAATTTTAAATTTCATTCCAAAGTCTTAAACATTTGTTTTTAACCTAATGAATAAAATTAATAAATAATTTAAATTTGTAATTTTTCATTACAATTAAGCACCTGTGAACATGTACTATGGGCAAAAAGCAAATGACGTGGTACTCAAAGAAGGATATTTTATATCTGACGGTAAGTAAATAAAAAAATAGAATAACAATACAGTTATTATTATTCGGAAATTGTGAATTTGAACAAGAACAATCTTCATAGTTTGAGGAATAAATAAAAATAATTACCTTTACGTATTTATATTGGTCTATAACCTCTAATTAATTTTTATCCGCATAATTAAACGATTTATTATGTTTAACTTCAATGTATTAGTTTTGTAGATACATTTAATTTTTTTTTTCCATGAATCGAAAACTAAAATATAAATTGTTTTTAATGCAGAACCTGGTTATTATAAAGAGAATCATTTTGGTGTACGTCTGGAAACAATATTAGAAGTTATAACAAAGGTAATAACAATTATTTTATGATAGTAAATATTGTAATTGGTAACCTAACTATAAATATATTTGAATGAATTGTGTTAATCTCTTGTATAACGTGAAAACATTCATCATCTTCAATAATTAATTTTTTTACGTGCAGAATGAAACGATGGGCAAATATTTGACATTTTCACCGATTACACTAGTACCATTCGAACCAAAGCTCATCGACTACTATATGCTCAGTCCAAAACAAGTACGTTTTTGCACCATTGTTAAAAATGTAACATTTTTATCACTAAATAAGATATTTTTTCAAATTAAAGGAAACCACGGAACCAATTAGAATAATTTTATCTAGTTTTCTTTTTTTCTCATTGTGGTAACAATTTGATTTTAACTGATGTTTCTATTATTTTTATTTTCTGAATAGTTTGATGCCCATAAGCGTTAGATTAATTCATAACTTATAATATATAAAATCTTTCATCGGTAATAACTAATAGACCTTAGAGAAAATAAAATATCTCTGATAAATGATAATAATTAAATAAAGTAGCATTTGTTTATTAGTCACTCGTCATAAATTAAGGGCTACGTGCAAAAACGATGATAGTCAATATTTCTAGACTTTTTAGTATTGCAGTTTTAAAGTTTCTGAACTTAAAATACTAAGAGATAAAATACGAAATTATTCAAAAAAATGTATTGTTGTAATACAACTAATTTGTGATAAAATGAATAAAAATATTAAATTTACTTTTTATAACAAATTAAAAGATGATATAATGTTCGATTTTTTTTTTTTGGCTGTTATCGTTTTTCTTCATAGCCTTTCAATTTTAATTATTTATTAATCTACATATTAATAAATTTAAGAAAATCCATTTATTTTTAGAGGAAATGGTAATTGAGATAATATAGAATACTGATTTTTGTTTATTCTTAGTATATTAGTACCGATGTAATAAGAAAAAAACTTCATTTAAATCATTTATCATTCAGTAATTAATGTGCATCCATAAAAACGAAATAACCCGTACACTACTGATATCTAATTATCATAAATACATCTTAAATACTATAGCTATTTATAGCACTTGGTCTTTACTGTGTGATACATTGATTCTTAAATTATACATTAAAACTTTTTATGAACCGACTGATATGAATGTTTTTATGTAACATCCCTAGGTGCAGTGGCTAAACGCTTACAACGATAAGATCCGGAAGGAAGTGGGTGCCGAACTCCTCAAGAACAATAATAGCCGACTGGGCTACGAATGGATGTTGGAGCGAACAATGCCGTTGTTATCGGACGGACGCCGGAATGAAGGCTGTACCATGACCGCTATTGCTTTAATCGTTGTCACTGTTACCGTCAACTTTCTATCCGTTTAGACACAAAAATCCCCCACTAAGCTTGTAATATTATCATTATCATTATTATTTTAAAACCTATTAGGAAAACCGTTGCGAATAAATGTATATAATAAGCCTTTAAACATATAAAAAAAAAAAAAAAAACCATAAAAAACAGATCTAGCACACTCGGTCATACGTATTTTAATAAATATAATCATACATAATAAATAGACAAGATACGTAAAATAACTTATATATGTACTTAATATGTAAGCATACATCACGCGCCATTAAATGTTCAGGAATAAAAAATAAAAAGCTCGCCAACAAATAAAAATGTATATGAATATACTTTTACTATATTATTCGCTGCGCATACATTGAAATAACGTTTTACGATAATAACTTTTAATAGTTTCGATGTCGTTTGGTGCGTTTCAGATTTTTTTTTTAAAAAATAATTTTTTTAAGTAGAATAAATTATTCATTTACAATATTTAGTTTAATGCTCTTACGTCATAGGTACATATAATTTACGAGTGTACAGTCCCTGTGATAAGTGGCGACAGTGGCACGGCCGTTTTCTGCTGCCGGCTGCCGTCTTTTAACGCTTTGTGTATCCTGGTTAGCGCCTTGTCCGTCGCATTTTCTTCGTGTTTGCACACGTATCTGTGCCGGTTACTGCATTCCGCGCCCGAGTACACGTACACCTTGGTCGCCGCGTTCAGAGTAAGCCGCAAACACCGACCGGACCCAGTGATCTGATCTTCTGGCCTCGCAGAGTCCTTGGGCACCACGGGCCGCGCGCTGTTGGCCCATATCCACAGAAGACCTGGGTTCAGACCTCCCGTCCAATAATCGTAACCTGTCCATGATTCACATTTATTCATATGTAATATACTTACGAGGAACGAGTAATAAAAATCGTGTCCACAGGAAGAAAAAATGCCTCCGATAAAACACGCATGTAATAGTGGAGTTCTTATAATTATTTTACGTCACGTAGAGAAACTATTATTATCCAACCGCCCATAGAAGTATAATATTTAATTTGAAGTATATAAGTAATTTAGTCTTCGAGCGTACACGACCGTGTTGGACTAAGTTTTGTCAGTCCTTCTAAAGCTTTTCTTAAAACACGTTTAATACTGAACTTTATAAGTTTGGTGTAATTAAATGTTATCCCAGGAAATATATAAATATCGCCTAAAATGTACTATGAGTTGCGCCACTGATGGTAGGAATCGGCAGCAGTGCTTACAAATTATATAGTAACCGGATGTGGGTTCAGTTGTTAATAGCGGTATAATGATTAATATAACAACGCGTTACAAAATAATGTATACAATATGATGGCTCAAAGACTCGCTCACCTCTTAGATACTTATCACCGATGAGGTACGTCAGTACGTCGATCTGTTCATCTCTATTGTCGAATTCCAACAGATTTCCTGCCAAACTCTTGCACATCGACATAGCCGACTTCCAGTTATACTGTCTCTCGCTAAAGTGATAACAGGCGTGTGCTATACGTGTGAAATTACTCGGACAAGGATCTATACCAAAATAAATGATATAGTATACAAATTAAATAATTTTAATTTTAAATGATTAATCGCGTATATAATATACACGTTTTTATATTATATTTATCGACATAATTCTTTGTTATTAATTATTATATTATATATTATTATATATTATTATCATAATTATTACGATTAATACTATTTATGTCAATGTACATTTATAATTATACAACATTCTTAACGTCAACTCAGGCCCGGATTAACACTAAACAATACAGAAGAAGATATTTTAACAGTTAGAATCATTCGCTATTCACTAGTAACATTTTAGATGCATTTGACAATAATCTATTTGTACTGCAATATATTACCTATTGCAAATAAATAATTACATATCTATTTCCATTGTTATTATTAAATGTATCTATTGTGAATGATACATTTAATATTGAAAATTTTTTTTTTTAAATTTTTTTTACAATCTATTGCGAATGATTGTAACTAGACTGTGAAAAAAAAGTGACGAAATTGGCGGTAGTGTTATGAATCGTTTTCGGGTGCTTGAAAGTTCTTGTTCCGACTTCGGTGACGTTAATTTTTAAATATAATAGAAATTAGTTTAGTATATAAGTAAATTTCCCTAACATAGCTAAATATATCAATAATTTTGTTAGGATATAGAAAGTCAATTAACTGTCAATAATGCATATTTTAAATAAGAAAAATATCTAAAAATTTCATAATCCGAGCCCGAAATGTTGTCGTTCTAATATTTTTGGGTTGTTTATTGCACTTGGAGAATTATTCGTTATATTTGTATACATATACTATTTATCGTAATGGGAATTATATTATGATTTATGATATAATATATTACATTTACTGCTTTGTTTTAAGAATACGGTTTATGGTAAACATTTAATATATTATTAAACTTTTAGATAGATTAATAAATAATACCTAATTTTAGATACTTACAATTACATGCATAAGAGAAATGTAATTTAAATATTCAGTAATAATTTGACATTAAAATGTAATTTTTTAATTATAATTTAAGACCCGCGTTTTAAATATTATATAACACATATTCAATAATAATTAATATTTAACGTGTAGAATATGCCTATGAACATTTCTTTGTAAAAATATACGAAACATTTCTCTAAAAATTCAAAACATTTATTACAGCTATAATTGAATGTTATTATAATTTATAGTTTTATTAATATTGATAAGAAATTGTGTTCTTAGTATGATATTTTATTGAATCATAATCAAGAATTACATATTCCGTAATCAAAATAGTTGATCTGATTAATGAACAATACATGAATAAATAATTGTATTCTTATCTGTATGAATTGTTTATACTATAAAAATATTACATAATATATAAGAAATATATTACCTAATGACGTGAATCATATAAATATTAGGTTTTTACACCATATCACTTCCCAAGAATAGGATTAATGAATAATATTTTGATTGTGAATAGAAACTTAACTACCATGTCTGTAGACACTTTTTTTTTGTACGCATCACTATAGAATCTACACCCGGTAAATAAAAAAAAACTATATTAACAAATATAAAATACGTATAAATATAAATATAAAATCACTATATCAATACATTATAACACATATATCGTTAAAGTTGAGCTTAACTATTCAAAGTATGTAAAGTCAAATAAAATCGTATATATATACGATTTAGTTTCAAATTAAGTATTTACATAAAATAAATCAATATATGTATTTATACTATGGCGGTTTTTTTAATTGAAATTGTAAGCAAAGTAGTTATAAAGGTATATCTGTTGCACGTGCAGATTTAGCATACATAATGGCAACTATGCATGTTTTTATGAATTTCTATTGAAATTCGGTTTAATTTCTTACGTTAGTCCTTATTACAAATTAAAGAATAAAAACGATTTCACTTTAACTTCATAAAACATATTATTAAATATAGGCAATAAATTTAATTTTTGAAGTAAATCAATATATTCCTTAAATACTCACGAATATATATTAAAATAATAATCAATAATTAATAATATGAACCTAATTAAATAATTATTATAATTATATAGTAATCCCTCGTTATCCGCGGTTTTGATCATCCGCAGTTGGGTCCACGATAACATATTATTAATGTGATTGCGATTGCGATAACGTTTTACCGTTATTACACGAACACTGTAGAAATTTATTTTTGACAATAATTGTAGATGATAATTGTTGTTATATCGCTATAGGTATAACACATATACATTATACATACTTATACTTATTGCAGATAAACCACAAAAAGTTACCTACACATACACGATAATCGTCAATTGCTCATTTGTAAGATGATATTTATGTGTGACGCATGTCCAGCAGTATTTAATAAATTTATTAGTGAAAATATGTTTAAATGGCTTCTCAATGTAAAATGTAAATAAAAAGGAGAAGAAATGTTTTTTTATTAATCGTTCAAAAAATTGAAATTTTGGAAAAATTAAAAAATGATGATAGTGAGCGTCACTTGCTAGAACGTACAAAATAAATGAGTCTAGTGTTCGAGAAATACGTAAAAATGAAGAAACAATACGATAGATAATAAATAAATTAGTTGTAGGAATTAAAAAAAATTAAACCTAACCTCTCTTTTTACATTGATTGATGGTCTCGTTATCCGCGGATTCGTTATCCGCGCAGGTTAGCTGAAACGTAACCTTCGCGAATAAGGAATAATAACTGTACAAATAAACAGAAAAGCCGAGTTTAAAATTCATTATATTAAATTATTAAGCAAACCAGAAAAGAAAGGAATAAAATGATGTTAACTATAAATAGTAATCTATTGTTTAAATCTCGATTTCTAATTACTGTCAATGTACTGCGAGTGATCAATATTGTCAACAATAACATTTTTAACAGTGTTTAATAATTTACCACCAAAAAACTTGTGGACTAATTATTTTCGTGTACAATGTATTGAGTGTTATAATATTATAGCTAGTGAATAATTTTACTACACAAATTAAGTAACTAAATATGTATCTCATAAACTTAACTCAAAATAATTGTTGTTAAAAGTTAATTACCAATTTAAATTTTAAAACCTATGTAGATAACGGCTTAACATAACTATAATATAACTATTTAGTATTTTTTATGTAGTCTAAGCTCTAAACTACTAATTATTATTATTTATTGTTAAATTCAAGGTCAATGTAATGGATATTTCCGTCATTCAAGAAAATTTATATTTTAATAATGTAAAATGTATTTATATTATTATAGACTAAAAATTAACGATACTGAATACTATAAATTTATATTAAATGCTTTATTTAGTCAGTGATAACATTTGTAAAGTGTAATTGACTACATACGGGTACTTATTAGATAACATATTTTATTTTATTGAAACCTAATTATACAAAAGAACCAAAGCTCAAATTCCTATAAAGGTATTTTTAAACTAGTTTAAAAAATGTATTTGCAGTACAAGTAAAAATACATATACATATAATACGAAAAAAGTTAACAGTATGTATTAAGAATCTTGAGAAATTGAGAATATAATTGAAATATAATTGGAAATTTGATATACTGGTATATATTTATTATGTAAAAAACATTTTTTATTTGTCATTAATTTATTAAGTGATGTTAGTATTTTAATAAATTTTAGATATCGATAATTGAGTATTCTGATCAAGTTTTATGATTAGTAACACCTGTAAATGTGTGACTAAACTTCCCAAGTAATCTTACTTGGAAAAAGTTATAGAGATGATAAATGCAACAGTTTACAAATGCAACCATTATACGCCAATTAAATAACATACTCAGTTATTTGAAAATATTATATTCCATACAAGTTAATAATGACTTAAAGTAAACTTTTTCAAATGTACTCATCAATTATATTCAATTTAAATTATATTAAATTAAATAATTTCTAATACATTAGAATGTATGTAACAATATTTGACAAAAAAAAAATTCGAAATAAACTAATATTAAACAATTATATTCATTGGTAATTATTATTTTAGCAGAAACTTTTTTTTTATTAAAATTATCAAATCCAAATGTTTCAAATAAGTTGAGACTAACCTTCTCTGTTTGCTGCACTTCCTTCAACAATGTGCTGTATGAGCTCTTCTGAACGTTTCAAGCGTTTTTCTATTAAATCCATTCTGTGAACTAATTTTTCTATAGCACCAAGCAGATACATATCTGTTTCTGAAACCTTAAATAAATTGTCTTTACAAACTCATAGTTTATATAGATGTAGGTATAAATATATTATTATTATTATTATTATTATTATTATTATACAATTATAATATGCGGAACACAGAAGAATTAAGTAAAAATATTTAAACTCCATGTCTATCAAAAATTAAAATTAAATTAAAACAATTTAAAATTAAACACTCATAGGTACTTCTTTATTTGGTCCATCTTTGTTTGTGTCCACTCGATCTCCAATATTTTGACTAGGCCTGTTGACTACGTAGCCAGTGGGTAAAGCAACCGGCACGTTTATGACATTATTGTCTCGCGTCGCCAAATCTTCAATGGTCAAACGGTGAATGAAATCTAGAAAACATAAAATTAATTTACCGCAACGCAATTCAAGCTCTAATACACAAAAAGATGTTGTTAAAGTGTTTGAATTTTAAACTTTTGGAAAATTTTAAACTTTATTATCGTTCTTAATTTAATATTCAGAGTTATTATTTAAATATAAAACGATATTTCAGGATTGTTTTGGTACGAAAAAAAAATAAATTTTAAATTGGGTTATATCGCTTAAGTACTTATGACTAATACCTATAAAATTATAAGAGCACAATGTAGGTAACTATTACTTGATCCTTCAATAATAATTAGTATAAAATACAACAAATAATTACCTCTACTCGATTGAACAGCACGTGACAGTGAAAGTATAACCGTGCAAAGGACGTACGTTGTTTTTAACATAATCATAATAGTTAAATATAATTCACAAAAAATAAAATACCGACAACTATTATGGGCACGTGTTTCGGTGCAACGCAAGTGTTGAAATGAAAAATACGCAGTGGATGTGCACCATGTGAACGATCGCGTGAATCTACCAGTGATCCCAGTGTCTCACACTGAACACAGAAAAAATCAAGAATCTCAATACACCAATGTGTTACTAATTACTGACCTAAAACCATTGGACCTTAACTATGTTCACGTTTATTCAACTGGACGGAAACGTAGATAAATCAATGTCGCACCTAATGGAATTTTCCACAGGAATCTAGTACAAATTATGATCTGCAGAGCAAATTGTTCCGAAATTTATTTACGAAAAGAAACGTGATTTTTTTTTTAATTCAATGGAAAACATTGATTCATATGGGAACCACTGGCTTAGTGAAAGTTTTCCTCGCGTCAAAACAAATGGACTGTGAAATAAGTAATACTCACAGCATGAGGGCATCCTATCAGTATCAATTATTGACATAATTTGCATATTCCAGTCACAAATGGGTTTTACCAGCAAAATTAGAGAGCAATTTAGAAAAAACGTATGTTTATATATAAAAAAAAAAGTATATTTTGTAAATAAAAAAATTTTACATGTTAACTTATACCTAATAAACAAACAACTATCATGTTATTATTTATGTTGATTAATTTATTTTGGACAGTAAATATGATAAATAATTAGTAAACTGGACGGAATACTTTTTCGTTACAATCACAATACATTAAGTAAAGTCTATATGATTAAATAATTTATAAATATGTATAAAACAAAAAAAAAAACAATACCTTGTAAATTTCCCTTAACCTAGAATAGTGCCTGTATATCCATGAAAAAAAAATATTAAGGACTTTTGAATACAGTCATAGGCAGTGTAGTGCATAAAATTTGTCTACAATATTCCTTAAAAATAATAACTAGTAAATTAAACACTATTAATACTTCAAATATTCAATCATACATAAATACTGGGTGAGTGGTCTCTAGGATGAGAGATCAAATAAGCAATATAAATAAAGATAATAATATTAATTTAAAATTAGGTACATAGGAATGTAGGATACAATTGCATCACATTGAGGTTTCTAGCGGTTGGCTATGTGATCTAGGAGGAGGTGAAGGAGCTTGATCCAAATTTGTTTCAAGTATCTCTGCACTACTATATACTCCTCGACTACTTAAATCTGTCCACATACCCACTGTAGATGCAAATGTAGAATTGTCACGGAACCCTAAACGTATATGGTATAATATATGTTGTATTAACTCTTTTTTAATTTATTTAATCAACATTTTTTAGAAATCACCTTTGTTTTTATAAGCTAAATCATAATCATTTTCGATGTGTATAGGATCATTAACATTGTGCACTTCATATAAATCACTTGGTTCATAGTCATCAACTGATGAATTAAATTGTGATTTTACAATAGAATCTGCACTTCCATTAGCTTTGGTTGATATTGTATTAAAACCACTGCTATTATCAATCATCTATCCATAAAAATTAATGAGATTAACAACATTATCTTAATAAGATATAAATATGAAAATATAATATTATAATAATTGTATGAAAAAATATTTTTTACTAACTGGTTTTCGTCGATAATTTAATTCAGAAAATGCAGGTTGTGACAGGGACAATGATCGTAACGATGTTAATGATTGACGAATTGAATTTCGTCTGTTTAGCCTTTGGACTTGTCTTCGTTTTGATTTAGTCCACCAGCAACATAACACAGATATCACACAAATAAAGCAACCAAATATTAAACCAGTTACAGCTATATTGACAACATCATCACGCCATATCAATGGATTTATAACCACTTGAGGATCTGAAATTATTAATAAAAAATTATTGAATATTTTTTTTTCAATTTTTAAAAAACATAAATTTTACCCATTTCACAAATGAATGCATTGCGAGAAGTACATTCTAAATTCGTATGTATCTTGTTAAAACCAAGAGCTGTACACTGACTAATGTAGTCAATGTGTTGAACCCATATTAATCCATAGTCATAGATTTGTAATTGCAGTGTTCTTCTGATACTCAAGTAATCACCCGTAATGAATGGCATAGAAGCATTCATTGTCTAAAAATAATATATAGATAACATTTATTTCAGATTGCAAAATCTATTACAAACCGTGCAAAATGTTTTAGCTTCATGAAACATCATTGGTACTGCAATGTATGCGTAGCAAGTATTAGATGTTGGCATTAAAATCCATGGTGGAGGACACTTTTCTGACTCTAAAAGAGTTTTATTTGATGAATAATATGGTATTACATCAACAGGCATCAACTCTATTTCATCTTTATAATCTTTGATACGTCCATATACAGCAATTGAATCATTGAATCCCCAATAATTGTGACGAGCATCAATAGAGCCATCAATAGCATAAATATAATCACTGCAAGTATAAGTACAAATATAAAATAAAAACATATGTAATTAATAACAAAAATTAATTGCACCAACACACCTACACCTGCATGTATTGTCTCAGTCTTACAAACATACAATATAGTAAATCTACATTCAGTAGTAGTGATGGACATATCCAGATTTGACGAATCCGAATTATTCGGGTTTGCCAAATCCATATTTCATGGACTATCTGAACTATCCGGATTATTCAATTCAATTTTTCTATTCAATTATAAATACTATTCCTACATTATGGTATACCTCCACATAATGTTTTTTAATACTTAAAAATAATCATAGAGGTATAAAGTAAACCCAACAAATTAATAAATTGTAATTTTGATAACTAATAATATATTATAAAAAATGTTGAAATCATGATAAGTAAATTGAAATTCATAAAATATAATATTGATTTGTTGTTACAATAAAATAAAATAATTTATTTTACTAGAAATTAAAAATATTTATACGTAATATTAAAAAGCAAATTCATAAATCCAGATAATCCGGATAATTCAGATATTCAGATTTCATGCCCATCCCTATTCATTAGAATACATTTTGTACTGTTAGCTTTAATATAAAAGTAAACTGATACATTATAAGACTTAAAGCAAAAACATTATCTGTATAAGAAAATAAATTTTTTACAATATTTAAATTATTAAGCAAATTAATATTTTTAAATTATAGTATTTTACATAATCAATACTAGCTTACAAATTAAAATAGTATAAAAAACCTATGTTATTGCACAGATAATGTTTTTCCATTAAGTTTGATAATATGTCAATTTGCTATTACAATAATATTAAAACTAATAACACAAAATTGGTTTTACTGAATGCAGATTTGCTATGTTATATGTTTATAAGACAACACATGGGCGTTTTCTTAAAAAGAAAATATTATTACTTTGATCGATTATTACTAGTTGCAGCAATTATTTCATAGTTATTTTCTGGATTATAAAATATATTATGTACATAATATTGACCATTAGATAATGCAAATATTGTCCCTTTATTCTGTATGTTGGTTGCTTCATTCCTGTAACATACACCAATGACATCCAAATTAAATAATTAAATAATATTATTAACTTTATTTTTTATTTTTACCAATAAAATCCATTATGTGATGTTGATGATTGTAATGGCAATCGAATTCCATGAAAACCAGACATCTGTAGTATATGAAAACCAATATTGCTATAAATGTAATTGAATGTAAAATTTGAAATAACCTAAAATTATAAAAGATCAAAAATTAAAAATTATAATAGTTATAATTATTAAATAATAAATATTTACCTGCACAAGTTGAATAATATTTTCATATGGGGCAATATTGTCAGAAAAAAAGTTACGGTATATAGTTATATGTTGTTGAGGTGCTATGCGTAAACCAGTAATATTTAATGCTGGCAAATTTGCATTTTCCGTAAATAAATTATTATGGATAACTGCCTGCAAGGTAGTTGCAAATCCACTTGAATCTGCTGTCACTTTAAGACCACCTTGATTTTTCATTACAAGATTATTCTAAAATGTAGAAAAATATTAATATAGATACTATTAATGACTAAAAAAATAAAAATAAGACAAATAAATATTTTTACATGAAAGTGTAAGCTTTGAGTATTTTGTAACTGAAATTGAATAGGCATGTCACATGTACTTATGTTAGTATTGGGAATGTGGCGACAATTGTTGATTATTTTATTCCAAGCTACACTAATATGTGGATTCACCTCACCAGCACACGCATAATTTATAGCACCCATAAAGTTATTGTTGATAATCGAATAGGAAATATTATGTTCAGTATTGCGATCTAGAAAAAATTTATTAAAAATCTAATATACAGATTATTAAAATGCACTTACTAAAACCAATTGCAGCTATAGGAAGAGTTACAATTTCTGCAATGAATCCATAGTTTCGAGAAGAAGCTGCTCGAGCTGTAGTTTTTAAGCTAATGCTACCAACTGTGGATTTAATAAATCTTCTCCTTTGAGATTTTGGAGATTTTACAAAACGAATGATTTCGGAAGTTTTATTATAGAGTATTCCATCATATAAGCTCACATAATCACTTTCGTGAGCTAAATTTAACTGCAGTAATCTATAATATTAAAATCACATTAAAATAAATTTAGTTGAATAACTCTTAATTTCCATACCTTAAGCCTAACGATTTTGATCCCAAATGACTACGGAAAATTTTGATACAAGATAATGGTTGGTCACTATATTTGAAGTGTACAATCATTCGTTCATAAACTACAATATCTTTCACTGAATCACACATATCTAATAAGCCAAATGTATCTTTAGGTAAATTTACTTGTTTTAATACATCAAAAGAACTTTCATCATTTTCTTGTCCTTCTCCAGTTAATGATATAATGTTTATACCTATTCCAGTATTATTTTCAACCCTAAAATACCAACAAAAAAATATAATCCAAATCAAATTTATTTCAGAGAATATTATTACAAACCAATTAGAAAAGAGATGTATGTTTTGATGTTTGAATGTCACAACAGATATTCCATGAGATGCTGAATTAGTAACATTAATTGAGTTTATGAAAGGAGATTTTCCAATCATCATAACAGCTGGAGATAATTCATTATGTAAAATTCCAGCACCATCAATACGGGCATATTGTAGTTGAGATTGAACATTTAGCTTCAATCCATGATCTTTATCATCATGTAAGTATTCAGTATAATCATTTACTTCAAAATCGTTATTAGCAAATCTATATAAAATATTATTATAAAATTATCAATAAAATAATACATTCAAATTGAGGTGGTAAGAGGAGTAATATGAATTTTACACACATTATTTCAAATACAAAGAATATAGTACTGGTTAGATTAATTAAGATTAGAAATAAAAGTAAGCAAAAATTTCATTAAAAGCTGGTATTTGATTCAAATATAATAAATTTGTATTACAAAGAAATCCATAAATACTTCACAATATTACCAAAATAATACTCTTATTAGAAAATTATAGTCTAAAAATAGGAAATTGTCAAGAATACATTTTAGTTTAAAAATGGTTTTTAGATCAATTTTATCTTTTTTTAACTTTCATTTTGTAAAGAATTATGAGTATTTTAAATTTTTTCTTCTAAATAATATGTCATTTTAACTTAAAAAATCTAAAAATGTTAAGATATTAAATTTTTTTTAAAAAATTACTATTTTAAAATTATGTAAGTTTGTTTGAAATAATGATTAAACTATACTTTTAATGTATTTTATTACCTTATGCCTCCCCAATGTTGTTGATTTGTTGAAAGAATGCTTTCCGTGCAATACACAAATACAAAAGATTCGTCATTCCAATCACATGTTAAATATTCATCAGTGAAATTTAAAATTGGACAATCCATGAAATTATTCTCATTTCCTATAATGAAATATTTATAAATTTACAAAATATTGTTTATAGTTATACAATTTTATTACCTAAACATCTATAATGTTGAGGCCAACTTTGAGCTGCAACAACCATTTGACTTTCATTATAATAATGTTTTTTCCAAGTAAACCAATTGTTCAAGGTACTACTATTAGAACCAATTTCTTTACACACAACTTTAGCATTAGCTTCAGTAAATGAGCGATCGCAAGTTGGTAACCATTGCAATAAAGTACTATTCCATACTTCCAAAAATCCAAAAATATTTGTACTTGAATCATCAACATTTTTCACATGATTTAACCGTATAGTAGGCCTAAATGAACAGTACAATTAGCTTTTTAAATTCAAGAATAATTATTGAAAAATATACCTGGCTTTTAAATGGTTTGCATGTGATATCTTCGCTTTATTAATGGGTTTAAACGTTATTTCACCACCAGTATATCCTTGAGCAATCAAAGACCCAAGAACGAGGATACCAACATTAGGTGCAAACTCTAACGTAGTTCCTGGCAATATAGTCAAAGTTGCACCAGGCATTACAGTTATGTCTGATAAAACTATAAAAGCATTTTCTTGTGGTGCAATAGTCAATGATTCTGAAATTTTACCGCCCAATATCCCATTAGAAATGTATTTAAGATCATCCCAAGTCATCTGAAATTTAAAAAATTAATATCAAATTTTATAACCTCAGTTTAAATTATACAAAATGTATTTACAGATAATGATGCATCAAATGAATCATCTATTAAAAATGGAGTGTAAACAGTGACCGCATTGTTATTCCAATCATCAAAATCAAATATTAGATCTTTTATATGATTTATATCAACTGATCCCCACCAATTACTAGCCATGTTTATTGCATTACTTGTTCTTGATGTATGCAGACCAGCAATAACATAATAATTCATATTATTACTAGATGACATTAAATTTCGATCAATTTTAACATTTTGAATGCCATCAAATATTATCAATGAAGATATAGACTAAAACATACAATTAATGACAAACAATTACAATTAATTCAAATGCTTGATGCTAACTATACTTACTCTTGTAGTAAGTAAACGTATATTACTATTAAAAATGTTTTCCCGAAACAGTGCAAATACTGAACTCATAATTTCACATTGACTGTTAATTCTAAACATAATCATAAATTCTCCAGTATTGAAATTAAATGTATTCTTCCATATGAGCATATACTTTTCCATACCATTAATCATTATTAGACCATCTATATAATTTTAAAATATATGTAAAACAAAATATTATCAAGAAACTATATAATAAATTACCTTTACAGATGTTATTTTGTAAAGTATTACGAGTGATATTTAATTTTGCAAAATGTCCTCCAATATTTAAATTCAAATTAGTATTGTGAACAAATGTATTGTTATCGATAATAACAATATGCGTGATATTTTCATCATATGAATTTAAATATGGTAATGTCAACTGAATACCATTTTTTAAATTACGCTCAAAAGAATTTCCAGTTAACTCCCATTTGTACACATTTAGTGAATTTTGGGTATCTCTATAAATAAAATAATACAAGAATTTATTTATTTTAATTTTTATTAAAATTAATTTAAATATTTTTATTTATTTTTTTTTAATAAATGTAAGTATGTAAAATTACTAAATAATATAAAATTAAAAAAAATTAAATTAAATTAAATTAAATAATAGCATTATTGTTATGTGACCAACAAAGGCAAAACAAAAATAAATAAATAAAAAATATACGTAAAATAATGTATACATATATATATATATATATATATATATATATATATATATAATATAATTTATGTATATAAAATAATTATTATTTCTATATATAAATTATAAACAATTATGAGAATAAAATAATTTTATTAATTTAATTATTCATAAATAGAACAAGACAAAGTTACATGTTCAAACTAAAGCTATTTAAATGCTTATTTGTCATTGATACATAAAGATATTAAATTTTTATATAAAGTTTTGATAATGATAGAACTGCATAAACAAGATTATGATAGGATTGTAACTATTCCAAATTAAATATCTAAAATGTATTATTATTGAGAACAATACTTCAAATACAAATATATTATTTAATTAAACATCGATATTTCATATACATACTTTGAATCATGAATAATAATTTTTCCATTATCTGCTATTATTGAATTATTAACAATAATATGAATACAGGATTTATTAAACAGTTCAAAAGGCATTGAAAATGGCTCAATTTCACGGACTAGCAAACCTTCATTTTTATTATAAGATACATCACAGTTGTATAAATTTAATGTTTCATTTAATGCTCGTAAGTAATATTGACCTTTTCTTGGTTTATTATTATACTTGTGACTTTCTGCTCTCATAAATCTAAATATTGAATAAAAATATATAAATTCATAAATTTATTTAAATAATGAAAAAACTTACTCGCTGTAATAAGAAACAAATACTCCAATATCATTACTTTTAATAGCAGTATTTATTACAAACAATGTTGGTTCTGGTTGAATTAGTAATCCTTGGTGTATTGTAGCTAAATAATTGTTTAAATTATAATAAAATAAATTGTTTTAAAATATTAATAAATACCTGGTATGCATGATATAAGAAGGACAATATTTCCACGTGGATTTAATCCACTACTGTATTTTAATATTATACCATTGGAACTACTTTGAGTAGGGAAAAATCCAATATCACGATTACATGTCCATAAAATATTATCATTAATCTTGTTACTATGAATATTACGAATTTCAATTTTTTCACTAGTATTATTATGAGGAACATTTAACATCTGGATTCCAATGACATTATTAATTTTTGTACACTAAAATAACAGTATAATTTTAGAAAATACTTCTACTATAAAATTCTATAATATTGTTAAAATTTACTTGAAACACAATTTTTGACTGTATTGGATCAGTTAATTGTGATGATACTCGTTTAGTTATAATATATCTAAATTCATTAGGTTTTAAGTCTATCTGCAAATTAGACATTTCATTAGGCAATAAAACGGGTTTATATTGATATGAACTTGATGCAAAAGGTTTAAACCATCCTGCTAGTTCTCTTTGTTTGTCTATGCTAATTGCAACGTCATGTTGAATACCATATTTATTTCTTTCAATTGTACTATCTGATGTCAAAAATCAAAAATATCAAAACATTTGTTTTATATTAAATGCAAATAAAATTTACCTTGAATAGTCAAACCAAACTGTCTGAAAAATATCCCAGCTCCCTTATTATCACTAAATTCTGAATTGCGAATATAACTTAAACTGTTATGTAAATCAGAATAAAGTACTTCTAAGCCATTTCCAGCATTGTTCATGATACGAACACCCTCGATTGTATGTCTATTCAAATCAACTTGTAGAGCTGCAAAAAAATAGATTAATGACTATTAAAATGAGTTAATTTTAGTCAAATATTATTCTGTGCAATATTTTTCCACTGCTTTTTACTCAGTTTTTCTTTATCTGGACAGTTGCCCACTTAAAAAAAAATATATAACATTATAGTTAAATAATAAATAACATATTGAAAACATACCTGGCCCAAATTGATTAGTAATATAGTCAAAAAGTCCAGCTTTTTCAATTGTAATGTACTGTAAGTTACATGTATCTGCTAATACACCCAACCTTAAACCTGCCCAACTAGGTTTTTCACATCGAAATGCAACATATTTTGAATGATCACATAATTGTTCAGAGTCTAATACTTTCTCTAATGTACAATGCACCAAATCTAAATCTTCATCAGAACAAGTGATATTACTGTAAATAAATGTTAAATTTTAAACATAATTTTCATAATAAAAACGAAATTTGATTTAGTGTCATAATATTACTTTCGATATTTTATTTCAATGTTAAAACATCTTATTACATGCATTACATTCTTGGTAATACTATATTTATATGATAATTTTATTATACAAAAACATTATAAGTTAAATTACTTACGTATATAGTACAAGTTCTGATGGATCAGCAATGGGTGCATCAATTTTCCAATTTTCAGGATTTAAAACTAAACCCATTTGACGACATACTAATGCAGCATTTTTAATAGTCCAACCATAATCACAAATTGATCCCCATGTAGCTAATTCTTCAGAATATACCTGTTTTAAATTAAAATGTAATAATTATTTAAGATGATAAAATAAATAAAATACCAAAATACCTGAAGTCTTCCTTCTGTAAACGTTCTTCCAGCAGTAAACCGTACATGGGAATTTACATTAATATTGTCAATAGTTTCATTAGTCTCAGAACTTAAATTATCTTGTAAAGTAAATTTTATATTATTAAAACCTCTTCCACGAGCTTCTAATTTTCCAGCAACCATAATTCCAACACCAGGACTAAATCTAAATTATTTATTAATTATAAAAAAAAAAATTAAAAAAATATTTAAAAATAAATCTAATTACTTCAAAACAACATCGGGATGAATAATTAATTTTCCGCTAGACGCAACATTAATATCTCTTGTGACAATATATTCACCGCTATTCACAGTTTCAACACCATCAACTTCCCCACCAAAATCACTGGGTTCTTTATATAATTGTGTAACAACTGTAGAAACAGTCATTATTGATGTAGTACCAGGGTTTGTAGGATGTAACAAGAAAGGTACAAATTCAATTTTTGCCAAATTATACCGGTCACGCCTGTTAAGAATATTATAAAATAAAAAATTTTTAAGTATTAAAAAAAATTAACTTACCTATGAAATAGTCTATTTATTATAAAATGATCATCAGTACTTCCTAACCAATTATAAGTAGTATTTACAATAAGACTTTGATCTTCAAGCTGTACTCCTATTTCATAATTGGAAAGTGGATTTTCAATAATATTTCTGATGATAAGTGCATTAGAAGAAGTAACTACAACTACTGCAGCCACTCTATTTCTCGAAACCAATTTAAAAGGTTGAATTATTTTATTATTTTTTAAATAATTCCATGTAAATAATAAATTGTGTAGTTGACTATAAGTACTTAATCCCAAATTGACAACAAAACTTCCACTATTATCATAAAATTCATTGTATCTCAATAAAGCAGTTACAGAAGATTCATCAAAATCCTCATCAAAATGTTCATTTCTAATTAATATACAGCCATGTTCTTGTTTTTTGAATTTATTAAATTCCAATATTGCATCCATGTTAAGCATAGGTCTTATAAGTATTGCTAACTTTTTATTATTAGAAAATTCGTTATAAGATATAATTACATAAGTAGTTTTAGCTTGCCGTTCAATACATGATTTTATTTCTAATGCATAAATGCTAAAATTAAAAACATTTCCTGTGACATTGATTTGTGATTTTCCATGACACCAGCCATCAATTTCTACTGTATTATTAGTGATTTGAGAGTAGGTTAAAATTGTCTTTTGAGGTACATCGCTGATACTTTTGTCTAGTAGTCTAACAGCTATTCCTGGTCCTGAGTTGGATTTAATTAATGAATATGTAACATTACGTACACCGCCATTATTATTGGTTAAAATTCCAAATCCATTGTTATGTACTATTTCAGAACCTAATATAGTAATATCAGCAGAACCATTAAAAACATTTATTCCAGCACTTCCACTATTGTTATGAACAGATGAGTTGAAAATTGAAATAGCACTATATAAATTTTCAACAAATAATCCAGAGCCAATATTATCAGACAGAATGCTTTCAGATATATTAACACTATGCCATTTTACTAAAAAAAAAGTAAAAGATTAACTAACAATTTATTTTATTAGTAAATATTAATATATTATTAAACAGTTATCTTACCAAATCCAGATGTTATTCTGAGCAGACCAAACACATTTGCTCTAGAAGGTGCAGAAAATTGAATTAAAATATTGTTACGACTTGATGTCACTGATTGTGGTACTGTATTATTGTGTACAGAAATTGTAGCTAAGAGCCTAAAAATACATTTTTAATTTTTATTATAATATTATACATATTAATTTGATGTATAAATACCTATCAGGAGTTGATACCTCTCCATCATAAATATATATAAATGAGTTATTGTCAAGTTGATGAGAAATTGTATGTTCAATGTTTATAGTTAATACTTGTCCAATTTTAGTAAATAAACTCTAATTAAATAATACACTGATTAATAAACTATATAATACTTAATAAAACTGTACATTAATACCTTAAAACAATTAATTTGTTTAGCATTATAACCATTTTGTTGAACAGTAGCAAGAACAGGAAATATTTGACTAGTTGTTGTTGGAAGAGAACAAAGTTCGTTTACATTACTCATGAGATCATGATCAAAATTGCCTTGAACTATATGTATGCCATCACCTTTATTGTTGGATATTAGGGTTTTCATTAAACTCAATTGACCAAACGAAGAATTCATAAAAATACCATATCCTGAGAATAAAAACAAATAGAAATTAGTTGATATTCTTAAAAAAATATATTCCTAATATACTTTTAAAAATTAAAAGTCAAATATAAAGTTATATTTTGATGTAATTCTTTTTTTTTAATACCTCTATTATTTTTTATAATACAATCTTGTAAATCTAATATAGAATCCGATGTTGTTATATTGATTCCATTATAAGCAGAATACAAAATTGACACATTTTTCAATAATGGGGGGACCCCATCAACTTCTATAACAGAAGTGGTCTTAAATTCTGCACCAACACCAGCATACCTAAAAAACATAGTTAAAATGTTAAATACAAAGCACAGTAAATAATTTTAAAGATAATTATTAAAATAAAGTAAGTACATTTAAACTAACTGAATTAGTACAAAAATTAAATATAAACATACGTTAATATAACATGGTTCAGTTCAGATAATGATACAGGTTGATAAAGCGTATTGTGATTTATTAATGCTTTTTTGAATTGTGCTTTTTCAAATTTAAGACCTTTCCAATAACTTTTAACAGCATAGCTATTTTCATAATACGGTTGACACTCAATAGCAATATCTTGTTTAAGGTCTGAAAATAAAATATTAAAATTAAGAATATTTTATTATGATGTCATAATACTAACATTAATATTAAATAAATATGAAATTAATCTAAGTAAATATTAAATAGTATTTATATAAATACTTATAGATGATTAAAAGGTGATTAATTTTAAGTTATGAGTCATACACAATATAATATTACCTTAAATAGATAATACAAACACTTCAACTTACCACAGCTACCAAATCCTAATTTTTTATTTTCCCATCCACTACAACTAATTAAATCATTTTCAGTCCCTTGGCATTGTAAATTGGACAACATAAGACGTGTATGAAGCTTATCTCTTTTGGGTTCCATCCAACGTAAAAATTTACCTCCACGGTAACCCAAGTATCGACATGTTGTTTGAAGATCAGCATTATTCCATCTGTAGAGTATAAATTATGTAATATAATAATTTGGACAGACTATTAAAAACTATTTTTATTAAATACTTACTGTGTTGATGTACAAACTGATCTCCAAGCACCTTTATAAAATAATTGTAAACGTCCAGCTAGTACACTAGGACCATCTATAAGTCTTATATTTGATAAAGACTGACTTAAACCATCGTCAGTATCTTCTACATTAGCAATAGATGTCATAACAATTTTGTTATGTGCATCACCCTATAACATTTTAATAAGTTATACAAATGTATCGCAATGAATGGTTTTGAAAATATATTACATTAGCAATAATAGATCCTTTCACAGTGATTCCGGTTTTTGGTGAAAACTTAAGCGTTACACCAGGATCAATGATAAGCTGACCCGTATCTTCAACAATAACATTATTCAATATAAAGTAAGGACTATGGTCAGCTTTGAGCCGATGTTGGTTTGCAATGATTCCTCCTGACCATTCTGTGTAGCCTTTGGTAGATTTGAGTTCATTTGGCCAATGATAATCATTGGCGTGCGTATGGTAAACGAATATCTGTATAAGTTGAACCAAGCCCAGTAGCTTGAGCTTCAATAAAACCATTTTTTTATAATATCAAATCATTTTTACTATCAAGTGATTGAAAAAATTTTAAATTTTAAACAAATTAACTAATGAAAAAGAGAAAGAAAATTAAAGCAAACTGAATTTTACTACTAGACAATGAAAAACTAAACTAAGAATTTTGAAATCCAACACCCAATTTATTGCTTTGTATTTTCAAACGGTACTATCAATACAGTCGAGCTAATAATCTTGTTATGAATCATGAAGCGGGACCGTGCGTGAAGAGGGGGAATGAAATGTTGCAACAGGTGTACGGAACAAAGATACTGTATACAAGACGTATTTAATCATGATGGTATTAGCATATTACTCCCCTTGAGTATTATCTTCGACCGTTAAAATTAGAAAGGAGACCGATATCGAAATTGAATATCCAACAACTAGGTACCTATCAGAAATCAAATGTTACCTAACGTGTGTGCCGAACTGCATTGATAATAATATTTATAAAACAATAATATGTTATATCATTGGTTGTAAATACTATTATTTATTGTAGTATTTATAATCAATGGTAATATTTATTATATTATTTATTAAAAAAAACTTATGTAATAACCAAGATCATATTTAAGGGGTGGATCGGGGGGACAATAGCCCCCTGATATATTTAAAGTGGTGGCTACATTTTTACGGTATTCCTAAATAAAAACAAATCGATTTTTTCGCATTCTCCGTGAAAAATTATTTATGAATGATGAATAAAATTACATGAAAAATAAATGCAATATTGAAAAATGATTTATATTATTCATATATTTTATATATGTTCAATATTTAAAAAACAAAATTCAACTGGGTTGTAACAATTTAAGATAAGATCAAATGAACGATGTCACATGAAAAGAATTTTAAAATTTTGAAAACATGATAGAAACATCAATGTAAAAAAAATTAAAAAATTTATAAGTACAACTTTAATTGTAAATAAATAAATTTTAATTTCAAATTCATAGTGTATATATTTATGTAATTTTCATTACCATCAATATTGAGTTATATTATTTCAGAAATATGAATGACAAAAAATAGAGTAAATTACGATAAAAAAATAAGAGTTTTTTTACATCTTATCTATCTACAAACAGATGTTTAATAATATCTAAGATTTTATTTTGATTCTCAAGTATTAAGTTAATCATAATTAAAATGTCGTCAAAACCAGATTATTCATAAATATTAAAATTAAAATACTACAACTTTGCCAATTTTATAATTAGAAAAAAAGTTTTATACAAAAATTGTTTAAAAAAAATACTCTACTCGAATTTGAAGAGTACAAAATGGTATTGCTATTTAAAAATAAAGAAATATGTATTGCGCATGCGCGTATCGTCCTGTTCAAAAATTTGAAATTTGGTAATATTGTGTATTTTGGAACTCCCTTTCATTCCCTGAAACTCCATTTCAATACAAGTTCATCAAACTGAAGTATTTAATGGTATCTCTTAGCGTTAACACATTGTATAAATAGCTATAGGTATTGGTTTAATCTTAATTTGAATAGACAGGGTCATCCCAAGGTTTTTCGTGACCAGGGGTAAATTAATTTGGGGGCCCTTCGACCATAATAATAAGATATGATAAACAAAATACTCACTGAGATCGCTATCGCTGAGAATAACAAAATTCTCACAAACATATTTTTCCAAACCTTAACCAATCAAGCTTGTTTAAATGCATGTACTGTATTACATACTTACATAATAGAATTGAATATAATTTCTATTATTTATAATTTAATCACTTAATGTATCTAATTGGACAAGTCGTTAGACGCTCACACGCGCGCGACTTCAATCGCCAACAGGAAACGTGTAAAATTGCTTAGTGTAATTGAGTCCTTATTATTAATTATTATTCATCAAGACTTTATGGAGGCCTGAAAAATATTCCAACAATGGGGCTTGGGGCAAAATGGTCCTGTTGCCCTCTCCCCTCTAAACGGCCCTGTGAATAAGGATAAGGCATTGTGCAATAGTGTACTGAAATGAGATGATTAATTGTGAGAGTAGTGAATTGCTTTTTAATAAATAGTTAAAGACACTTATTTTTAGTTTTGCACTTCAGGGAAAAGGCGCGGCAAAATCTAAAATACAGTCATGTATATTAACATAATCATTTTTAGATTATCAGAATGTTATTAATAATTGTTCGTTTGTCGAACCGTTCATAATTATGATTTATCAAAATCCCTCTAAATCTTAATTTTGATAATTTATTTCACTTCGCTACGCTGTTAGTGGCGTACCTAAATTGAGAGGGAATAGAGTTACTTAAATCTTGAAAAAATATAAGTATTCGTGGGACGACAGTAAAGCTAACCTGGATCTTGATATTATTATAATAAACATACATTGTTCAATCAATTTCATTAAAATTCATCAATCAACAATTTTGTTTTCAATCACGCAGTTAACAATTTACATTCTTTAACATATTCCTCTAATAACTACAAAATTCAGGATTTTATTATAGATGCCTTTTACTTTTAGTGACGAGTTATTAACTCATACTTAACATGCTACTGCATACAACTTAATATATTAAAATATGACTGATATGTTGTCATATTTGTGTCAGTGTGAGCAATGACCGCATAACTTAACTTAAATTACAAATCTCCGCGGGTTTCTCGGAAAGTCGTAATAAAAATAAAAATATTTCATCATAATAGCATAAAACTGTTATAAAACACGATGTTCATATTTGTCGTCAGGAAAATAAAAATTCATGGGAAATTCCTTATTATATAGAATGTCAGGGTCAGATTAACTCGGTTTACATAGTGCATTAGTCTCATAGCACCCACGCCAAACTATTTAAGCATGTAATACGTCATTCACTAGGTTATTAACAAAGCGATCTTGCGTTACGTTGTACGTTAATCAACTATGTATGCATGTTGACAGTTTTACATAATTATTTTTTGATTCCAGTAGCAAAACCAGAACATTTTTTTATGGGATTTACATTTCAAATTTTCTCTACTAATTAAGTATCAACTTATTAATTTCAAGAAGTCTATTAAACATAAATTAAAATATAAAATGTGTTATTATTTAGTTTGTTGTAACCGTGAAAATAGTAACATTATACCTATGTCTTAAAATTGTTTTATATAAAATAAGAGAGACATTTGGGGGAGGGACTACGCCGCTGGCTGATTCTAATATAATTGTAGATCGTTAGATTTTAAGCAAATTCAATCAGTACGGGGAATACAGGCACCTACCAAATTAAAATCGGTTTCCTTATATGTTTTTGAGATAAAATTTTTGACTTTAAATCAGCGTCAGAAACATTATTTCAATCGAAAAGTTAACATAGACATTACTTAGAAAATGTATATTTTTTTATATTTTTCCTAAAATATAATTTACATCATACATATATTAGATACAGATTTAAATTATAAAAATATTTTTTTGTTTCACAATATGTAACTAAAATACTTATATAGAATTATTAGGAAAAATTATTTTTCTTAGATTTTTGACAGAGTATAAAAAAATATAGATATCAATAAGTGTATCAAAATTCATTGACTTAATAGAGGTGAATCATAGAGACATTTTTGATTTATTAAGCTTCTTAAATAATTTTTAATAATTTTCAAATTAAAAAAAAAAATAATTCAGAAATCGCTGTTGCAACAGATAATGTTAAAAAGAATTATAAGATCAGTATATGCATCTGGAAAAGTTGTTACTGAATTTACAAATAAATAATGTTGTAATTTGTTTAATTTTGTTCAATGTTAATTTTGTCCCTGCTCTCCCCTACCAATATTGCAAAATAATAGCTACTCATAATACAAAACGCAATTATGATTTAATTCTTATAGTACTTTTTATTTTTTTTGACACAATATTTTGCTGGTCATCTGCGTCCATTTTCAAATGCACCCTACAAAAATATGGTGTTCAGGAGCAATGGCCCGTGGGGTAACTATGCTACTCTTTCTGAGCTATATTTCCACAAGTGCTCCTAACATATATTGATATGTTACCTCAAATTTATAAGATACAAATCTCAAATAATAGTCTATCTAAACATAAAGCAATACATGGATACAAACAATTTGTCACTTGACAATGACTATAACAAAATTATTATTATATATTTTAATCATTCACAAATCATACTTGAATTATTTTTCAAATTTTATAAATTTTGAAGACAATTAGTTTTTAATTAAATAACGAAAAAAGAACAACAGTAATAAAAAAATAATTGCAAATATTTTGTTTTTAAAAATATAATTAATCAATCAGTCTAAAAATGTGTCCCCTTCTACAACTTCTTTTAAACTGAGTACTTCCATTTGAGTAGTACCTTTTGGATCTGTTCTAACAAGCTCATCAATTTGTCTATAATTTCCAGGATCAATAAGTAGAATCTAAAAAAGTTTAACGTAAGGTAATTACTTACATATTTGATAAGAATATAAATATTATTTATTATTATTTGTACCAGAGTAATTTGTCCAGAATCCCAATTTTCAGACTCCACAGATGAAGCTAAAGCAATAAATTTTTCTTTTAACTTTTTTGCATCTTTGCTCGATGACTCTACTTTTAACCTCATCATAGCTCTTTCAAGTGGAAGTACTGTCTTTATTAAACGAATAACTTCCAGAGCCTGTTAATATATTTTAAGATTTAATTAAATAAGAATACCAATGGACTAAAAGCAATATTTACTTGTTGCTTAGAATTTCGATTTGGTTTTACAGAATAGTGAACATCTTTCATGGCTTTTTCAATCATTGTTACAGAATAAGGTCTTTTAGTCTCAGGGTTTACACATTTATCTAAAATTTAAATATTATTAACTGATAAATATTAAAATAAAATATTTTAATAATTATTTAATTTAATACCTGCAACAATGGTAGCAATATCTTTAAAAGATGCATCCAATTGAGCAGATCTTTCTTTATCAGAAATCTGTAATTCCCCTTTTTCTAATATTCGTTTGCAAATATCAGTTAAGTTATCAGTGTCAAAAACTGTTTGTAAGTCTTCTTTTTTGGCTACCTGACCTTTGGATACGTTAGTGAATACTGAATGTGTTTGTAATACTTCGTCAATATCTTTTTCGCTAGAAAAAATTAACTTCCATAAAGAAATCGAACACTGTCTCCAAAACTAATTCACAGGTATCGAACCCGTTAAATCATACATGCCATTTCTCCACGAGATCACTTTATTCTTGTAACACGCTATTTCAAATCGTTTACCACCTTTTTTCATTCGCACGACTGCTACATTCGTAAGTCGAATTTGATTAGTAGGTGTGAATATCTTCGACATTTCAGAAACTTTAACTAAAACTAGATTTTACTTTAACAACTCGAAAAACAAGCAACGATCTAAAAATTAAATTTTAAATATTTTCTTGTAAAGAACACATTAATTCTGTGATAAAATAATGTTTTCTATTTTGATATCAGATATTATTTATGATAAAGGAATAAGCATGGCTATTCATATCAGAATGCATGATATCCCAAATATAACCTAATGCCAGAAAACAATCGTTAAATGGTTTTTATTGTTTTGGATTTTATCAATTATGTCGTCAAAAATTGAAACGTCGAAAAAACCTTTCGACAAGAAGAAATGGCGTACCAAAAAATATAGTAAAAAACACAAATGTAAGTTTATTTTTGTAACAAAAATTAAATCAATATATTTATAAAATAATATTGATCAATGAAAATTTTCTTTATGCTTGTGAAATGACTTATATTATTCTTAGATAATAAATCTTAGAAACAAATACATTTTTTTATATTATTATTAGTATTATCTGTTACAGTTATATGTTTCATGAATTATATATTAATTAATGTTAATTTCAGTTCAAGAATGGGACGAGCGTCGCAAAAAAGCAATTATTCGTGACTACTACAAAGATTTAAACAAATCTGGCGTAGAAAGACCTTTAGATACATCAATCAATGATGATACCATTCCTATTCGACAATTAAAAAGGTAATTTAGTTATTAAGTATAAAAATGTTAAAATTGAAAAAACTAATTTTATTTTTTGAAAGGATAAGTAAAATCTAGGTTAGAATGGTTATAATTAGGGCTAGGGACTTCATGCCCTTAAAAACCTTAAAATATGTATGCATTTATGCCCTAAAGAATCAATAAATATGCTATTAAAATATGTATTTAAAAAAATTATATTTGTAATAATTAATTAAATAAAAAAGTTTTATTAGTAATAAATTTAATAATATTTTTATATATGATAGATATGATGATCTGAGATAATTTTTTCTTTTTTTCGAATTTTTTTTCATCTTACATTGAATTTTTATCTAAAACAAAATACTTAAAATAGTTTTAAAAATAAATTAAATTGAAAACATTTTTTTTATTTTTAATATAGTTATAATTCTTCTAACCTTGAGCATTGCATTGGACTATAAGATATTTTCTTAAGTTGGAAGATTAAATGACTGCCTTTTATCAGCTAAAATAATTTTATATTTAGAAAAGGAACGTTACACGTCTACGGAACTTATTGGTGCAAACTTAAAAAATCGTAGGTCACTACTATCTGCAGGCAATCTATCCATAGATTCATTTTTCCATTTAAAATGTTCGAAATTTTTTGTAGTTAGCCTTAGCTTGTGCAGATTCTTCAATTTTTGCAGAATGTATACGTTTTTTATAGTTTTAATTATTTTAATTATTTTATTTTAATTTATTTCAATTAGTGCACCAATAAGACACTTTGATGTCCAAGTCACGTGATATATGAAGAAATAAATCATAATTTTTTTTTATAAAATTTAAAAACTTACTCCTTCATATGAATAATTGTCAAATATGCATTTATAAAATGAAAAATGGTCAAATATGCAAAATATGCAACTATAAATTTTAAATATAAACTTGTATTGCTTTGAAACAAATTTATATATTACTTAGCTATATTTTTGATAATTATTTAAAAACATGCAAGTTCCTAGAAGTCCCGAGCCCTAGTTATAATACTTATATAATATCAAAAATGTATTATTTTTATTAATTTTATATAAGTAATAAATAATTTGAATAATCATAGGAATTATTACTTGAAAAATTATTCTTGTTTTTTTTTTCTGATATTTTAAAACATAATTTTTTTCATTTTTTGGATAAAGCTACATTGATTCCTTTTTATAAAATTAATTTTGTTTCATGAACTAATAAGTATAATTGTATCCTTATGGTACCTACAATTGTATGTTTAATATAAAACATTACATTTACTGAAACACAATTTATTGTTTTAGATTAAACCCACATAAAGAAGCACAAGAGCGTTACAAACAAATCCTAGAGGAAAAGAAAGCTAGACGTTTTGAAGCATCAAAAAAAAAGGAAGAAATTCGTCAGGCATTAGAAGAATATAAAAAAAAGAAGATTTACAGAAATAAAAAACTTGGTAAAAAAACAAAAAAAGGTCAACCAGTTATGAAAGAAAGATTAGAATTATTGTTAGAAAAAATACAAGCAAGTGTTAGCAATAATGTCTAAATTTTTTTTTTAATATTTATTTGTTCTTTAATTATTTGAAATAAAATTCTTGTAATTGATATAGTTATTTATTTATTTTAGCACTAGCTCCTTAATAATATGTCAATTTTTTAGTATATGTAGTTTATTTGATACATTATTATAAATATTTTAAATTTTTGTTTTTCTGCTATTGAAAAAACAAATGTGTTCTTGGATTAATACATAATCTCTTTTGAACATTATTCACACTATTTTTAAACTTCTATCTGATATTTTCCAATATTTTATAAATATTCTAATAATTTTTTGATATTTGTTTAAAACAACAATTAATTTAACATTACACAACTCTTCGGGAAATAAGGCAAAAAAAAAAAAAAATTGAAAATTGATCGATTAAAACAGAAAATCTTTAAATTTATAAAAACATAGCTGAACGAAAATAAATAAATAATTTTTAAGCTTAATAATTAATATTACTTAGAGCAATATTTTGATAGTTTTACTTTTAACATAAAATTAAATATTCACATAAATTATTTATATTTTAACTGACAAATGTTTATAAATAATAATTGTTTAATGAGATCTTAAAATTAAACAACAATTTGTCATGTTTTAAAAATTTGTATGTACATATATATTTATATAATATTAGCATTGTGTAATCATATTATATTTAGAAAATATTATTTTGAACACAATTGTTAATTTAATTTTTTAACTTAATACAATTGAACTTCTGATAAACATAGAGGTAATTGTTATAGTCATAGGCAAATATATGGTACATAATTTATTTTTACTATAATAAAAGTTGTATCTAACAAGGATAAAACTATTGAATTTTATTATTTTATAAGAAAATTCATTGAAAATGTCAATTTTAAAATAAACCTAAACTCAAAAACTTGTAGATCTAAATTAAAATCCTAGTAATTTATTAATATATTCTTATGTAAATAATATTTAACTTCAAAAAATAAATAAAATAAATTTCTTATTATTAATAACTAATTAAAAAAAACTGAATTAAACCAAATTGTGTTCATAAATTGACACTTTTATTATATTATCTGATCAATATAAACAATAGCCTTCAACACATTTTATAGACATTTATACAGAGTGTTTACATGTAAATATACTGTTGTCAAAAATTAACTCAAGCATGAAAAATATAAATTAAAGTTATTGTTTAACACAATACACATAAAACCTGTGTAAGGAAAGTTATCTCTAAACAATATAATGAAATAAGATTTTTAAACATCAAGTAAATACAAAAATAACAGTATGTAATTTATTTTATACAGTCTTTATTTAGATAAATAAAATACTTTATCGCAAAGACGAATTATAATCAAATTATCATAAAAACAGCTTGGATTGTGATATCCCTAAAAAAAAAAAAACAGTTTATGAAAAAATTAGCCTACAATAATTATGCAGTTTTTACTATGTGTTAATGAGTTACCCTCTGGTATCTGGTGACAAATCTCGGAGGTACCAATTGATATAAAATGTAGGTATTTTCTTTTAATATATAAAATACTTTCTATATACAATTGCTAACGCCTTCTAGGATAAATATTGTTGTTATCTCTTCTTCTACGATCAGTTTTTTGAGACCGTTCCATTTCTGCTAAATGTTTACGTCGTTGGTCTTCTTTTTCTGTTATCTGTTCAAGAGAAAGTGGAGACCAATATAATGTTGGGGAAGTTTTAGTTTTTCGAAACAGTTCATCTAAACTTTTAGTAGGAATACGTTCAGGAGTTTTAGATTTTTTTTGTTTGTCCTGTAGATCTTTTTTTACTTTTTTATCCTTTGAAAAATGATCATCAGATATTTTTCTTTTAGTAGGTTTATCTTCTTTTTCACCATTCATATCTTCCAATTTGCCTCTGTCCCATTCACGTAAAATAATATTATTTTCCACCCGAGTTCTAAGTTTTTCTACTTTTGACTCATTTTGCTTCTCCAAACGGTCTGGTTGAGTTCCATTTAAAGCTTTATTTAATTCTTCTTTATCAGTAAAAACAACTCTTAAAAATTTAGGATTGGTTGATGGCCACTGGGATTCATTTAATGCGTATACAGTTTCAATAGCCTGATCTTCATTTTCATACTCAACAATACATTGCGATTTAATTGAATCAATCCAAAATCCATTGGAAACAATTTTTCCTGTCCTTTGTAACAAATCTCTTAGTTGACCAACAGTAAATGGCCGGACAAGATTAGTAATCCGGATGACATTTGAAGTTAAATGTTTTACAGCGGATAAATTCTTTTTTGGCTCTACTTTATTAACTTCTTCTGTTAAGGATTTTTCAGATTTGCATTCATCATCATCAATGTCTGATGGTTTTTCTTCTTCATCAGGAGCTTCATAATCAACTGCTTCATGATCAATTAACATGGTATCATTCATTTCCATAGCTTCTTCAACATCTTGTTCTTCCTCAGAATCTGTTCTTTGTATTTCTCCTTCTTCTGAACGATACTCACTATTATCTCCAATAAAATCACTGTTTGATTCTATTATTATTCCTAATGTAAAAGGACTAATCGTAATAGGTGTCCTTGTTTTACAAGACCCCCATTTACGCTTTGGATGTGAAGATGATGATTTTGCTACTTCCTCAACTTCAACTTTTTGTGTATCTAATAACTGCACTGGATAAGATTCTACAATTGGTTTAGATTCTTTATCACACACTAGTTTTGGTTCTTCTACTGTTATGGATTCTTTATTATCCACTGAGATGGATTCTTTATCAACCACTGGTTTAGTTTCCTTATCAATTGGTTTTAGTTCTTCTTCATAAGCTGGTTTTGGATCTTCATCATCAACTAAATCTGGAGATTCTACAGTTAATTGTACAACATCTTCCATCTGTTCTGAATCATTAATTAAATCAGATTTAGTTTTTTCTTCTATGATATCATTAGCTGTTTTACTTATCTCAGCATTAGATTCATTTTCTTCTTCTATGACTTTAGATACATTTATCTCACTTACTATATTTTCAACAAATTCTGGATTAACATCCTGAATTGTTTCACTTAAGGCTATTGGAATATCAATATCTGAAGGTATAACTTCAACATTTGTCAATTTTTCTTCCGAAATTTGGCATTCCTCATTAAGAGGATTGACTGTTGAGCCAATTAAATCTTCAGACAAATTAATTGGATTGATTGATTCTACTGCAACAGTTGTTTGATCTACAGTATTTTCAAGAATTACATTTGATTTAACTACAGTATCACTAACTACTTCATCAATGAGCATATTTTTATCAATAGAAATATTTTTTACAATGGATTCATCTTGAGATGTTATTAAATCAGATATAATTTTACTGTCATCTATTTGATTATTATCAATTTGACTTATATTGCCTTGATTGTATGTTGGTTCATTGGCAGGAATAACAATTTTCACTGAAAACAAAAATTTTATAATTTATTATATAATATATTTGCTGTATAGAAACAAAGGCATTTGGTAAGAATTAATTTTAAATGATTGAAAAATATTAATTACAATTTTTCATAAACATATTTTAAGTTAGATTCAAATACTTATGATAAGTGTAAATAGTTCTATACGAATATTTAGTAGAAAATTATCAAGTATATATTTAGTATAATTTTAAATTAGTTTTATAATTTATGTAATAATATCAGTATCAATATCCAACATTTAATACTTAATTAGAAGCCTCATATTGTAAAAAACAAAAGAAAACAAATACAATGATTACATTGATACAAGAAATCAAGAATAAAGTTAATAAATTAAAAATACTAAATTATTTATAGACATTTTTTAAATATAAAAACTGTATTTAAAATAATTTAAATTAAAAAAAATGTCATGCAGTAGGTCACAGAAATATTATAAAATAAATTAATTTTTTACTTCAAAAATTCTACAGTTAAGAACATATTAATAGATAAATACTTACATAAAAAATAGTTTATTTTAAATAAAAATGTTATTATTGAGATCTATTTTTAGTTTAAACCTTTAATAATAATTAATACATGTTTATTTACTACTTTAATTTTATTATACAAATTAAATTAAAAATGTTGCATTCATGCGTTGATCTAGAAAAAAACTGGTAGAATAACTTCATTTTTCTAATAGTATCTATAAACACTTGATTAAACACATCAATTAAATTCTAAACAGTTTAATTGGTTGGTAGTGATAAAAATCGATATTATATTATGTTTGAGTGCAATATGGAAAAATTATTATTGACTACTCTATAAAATATAAATATCCCAATGATTAACATTATTATTTACACAAAATAATTTGGATAATATATTTTACATGATAAATATAATCTATGCCTAAAATATAATAAAAATGTCTAGTGTATAGGTGTATAAAACTATTTCATTGTGTTAAAAGTATTAAGTATATTTTACATTACCTTGTTCATTAGAATCCACAATATTTTGTTCAGTTTCTTTAACTACTACAGTACTGCCAAATTGTTCTAAATAGTTTGTGACACTACCATCTAAAGCAGATGAATGTGTTGAACTACTAGCTGCTTCTTCTTTCTCTTTTCGTTCAGCTGCATATTTGGCTTCAGCAGCCTGTTCTCTTAATAAATCTTTAGGTGAACGCCTAAGACTAATTTTTAACTTTTGAATATCACCATCCGATCCATTTGAACACTCTACTTTCCACATCCCGGTTGTGTTTTCTTCATTGCAATCATTACTCTCTGGCTTTGGTAGTTTTATTGTGAGAGCTACTTTCCTTTCGACCTCATCAACTCTACTGGTAGCTCGAGTTTTAGGTGGTACATCTTCTGACGATGTTTCCGATGTAGACGAATGGCGCCTAGTACGACGTCTTGATGTACGTTCACGTTTCGGCTTCCGACCAGTTCTTTTGCTCATCTTATAGGTTTTTAACAATATATTCTGAACGTTTAACAATCATATACTCACAAGCACAACGGACATTATAAGCATTCACAACATGTATTTTCAATAAATAAAAATCACTAGCAGTACTTACAGCATAGCACTAAAAGCGCTTCCTTTATTTTATGGTGCAAAACTTAGAATAAGCTTTATCAACAAGTCGATCCATTAAATCAGAAGATTTTAAATAATTTTCTTTTTGGAAATTTGGTGAGAATCAATAAGCACCGAAATTTTGTTGTACTCAAAACGAAACGGCGGCCATTTTAATCGTTTATCAACACAAACACATTTCATTGACTTCAACTTTCTCCATACAATATTTTTTTTTTTTGATCCTTAAACTATAAAATTTAAATACAAATTCAGTGAAAAAATAACAGTAATATTATTAATGATACTCTAACTAACAATTTTTTGGAAATTTGATTCAAATAAATTCAATTTTATTTTATTTTTTTACAACAAAAACACAAATGAATAGCGTGGAATATTTAATGGCAGCACTGTCAAAAAACGGTTGATAACCACAATCATTTGATTATTGTATGATTGGTCAATAACACAAGAAATATAGTACAATGTTTGGATTTGGAAATTTATTTGATATGTGCCTATAGCAAAAAGTAAACTCAACGAAGAATGCTTGATATTAAGTAAATTTGATTTGTTATTTATTTGGAATTAATATCTAATGCTTATCGAACTTTAGTGTTTAATGATTTTGTTTTAAAATTAAAAATTATGTTTGCGTTGATTTGGTTTAATATAATGACCTATGCCTGATAAAGTTTATTTATATCAAGTGGGTTAGCTGATGTTATATTGTAATAATTTTTGCATTACGTTTATTTATCAATTACATTTTAATAAATTATCATATATAATAATTTTTACGTAAGATTGTGATAGTATTAAAAAAAAAATTAAATGAAATTCCTTCCATAATTCATTGGGGCATTCAATTCAATATTATTTATTGCAGTGTTGTTAATTTCTTTTGTAGCTGTATTTACTTCTGAATATAAGGTTTATTTTAAATTTATTTAATTATTTTAAAATTTGAATATTTCTGAGTGTAATATTGACAATTTTTACCAACAATTATTATTCATAATTGTTGATAAGATAATTAAACATTTTTTAAATCTAAAATTATAAAATAAATAATAAGTAAATATATTTTTTTTTTTTGATACCTTTAATATAAATATTTGTTTTAATTATATATTTTGGCATGATTTTTACATAATTTTTTTTGGTTTTATTTATAAAAAGCAGAATTCAAAATTTTTTTTATTAGTTTATTTTGAATTTATACATAATAATATGTTATCTTTTATCTAATGTATCTTTAAAATAGATTTTTACTTTTAAATTAATATTTTAATGGTTTTACATTTACACATTTAATTGTTGTTTATTTTTAATAAAAAAAATGACTTTATTTTCAGAAGTATGTTGATTAAGCAGAATTGGTCAGTGGGTATCAAATAAATTCAAATTTTTGGACATAGCGTCCATTTAAACCATGAAGTACAAAAATCAAATAGAAGCGTTATTAAAAATTATAAAAGAAAAAACACATGATAAACTTTCTCTAACGAACAATTCTCGAACTGAATTATACAATAGACTTTCTGTTTACCGACCAGATTACGATAAAGTTGTTTCATGGTATGAACGAGTGACTGGTTTAAGAGAAGTTCGAATAGCTCAAGATAGAGTATTAGAATCTCAAAAACAATTTATGAAAGCCCAAGATATAAGAAGAGATGTATCAGTAGAACTTAGAACAATCCAAAATAAATTAAAAGATATTAGAAGTGAACTTTTAAATACTTCCCGATCAGAAGATAGGTACATTGAATTAATAACCCAAGAACATGCTTTACTAAAACAAGAAAATTCCATTATTGATCGAGTTAACATGAGTGAAAAAGAAGAAAGAGATAGTTTTATATTGCTTTCCACCACATTAAAGGATAGTCATGATCGAGAACGAATACAAGCTGAGAGAACGAAGTATGTTTCTATTGTTGGCTCAATACTGGGTACCATCATAGGTATAATTGGAAGTACCGTAATTAATACATGGAAAATGAATGAATTCAAAAGAATGGTTTTTGATGCAAAGGTAGATACAACAAATTCATTTAGAACCGAACAAATAAATAATCTAATACTTCAAATGCAAAAGCATAATAAAATATTAGAAAAATCGACTCACAAATTAAACTCAGAGTTAGTTAAGAAAATAGAGGCACCAAATTGGAAATATAGTGATCGTGATATTATTATTTTGACAGCTATTAATTGTTCTATAATTGTCTTGTCTACATATATAGTGTCAAAATTATTTTAAAAAGTGTATTTTATTATTGTTGATTTTGTTTTATTTCCTAATAAATATTGTTTCCGTTAAGTGTTGGATATTTATCTATGTAATGATTAGTTTCAAATTAGAACATCAATATTATAGGAAATTATTGAATGGTATTAAACAATATGCTGTTATTTGAAAAATAAGTTGTGCATCGATTTATTTAATGAAATAATAGTAATTTGTATAAAGTAGATCTAATAGTAATATTTTTCTTTTTTACCATGTAGAATAATATATTTTTTGTTTAGTATATTTATATCTATAAATTGTTACAATTCTGAAAACATTTTATTAATTTTCTTTTGTAAATTATAAAATATTTGTATTGGGTATTCTCATAAATATATTGCATAACTAATATATAATGATCAAAATGCAAATGTTAGAAGTAACTATTAATAAACATGCATCAATGCCAACTTAGAAACAAAGTTACAACATTTTACGGAATATTATTAATTTTATAATATAGGTACAAATAAGTCATACTATTTGTTAGTTATGGCAAATCAATTTAATGTATATAAGATGTAACATAATATATTATAAAAAGGAAGTACTTTTTTTTAACCCTTGTAACTTCGAAATGCATTTTACTCTATTATATTTGTTATTGAACAATAGTTAATAGAATGGTTTGTCTAAGTTTCTAATTCACTAATAATAGACATTAATAGTTTACAGTTATGTCATAATTAATATTTTGTTTTGGAAAAAATAAAGTGTTATTTTCAATATAAATAAATATTTTAATGTTATATCAATAAATAGTAGTTCTTTCAATTTTAATAAAATGTATAATTTTAAATTATAATGTAGAGGGTACAAATAATATTAATTTGTTTTTAGTATTAAGAGAAAATAATATATTAATGTGATATTTAAAATCAATTATAGAGCTATCGGTCATCACTTAGCTTAGAAATCTAAAAAGTGTTTTTAATGATACACTCCATAAATTTATTTTCATTCAAACTGTCTAAAATGTTGCCAAAATATTTTTAAAACCACTACTTACCAATAACCATCGCAAGTAGCAAATCCTTGACCTTTGAATTATCCGAGCACTCTATCCTAGATGATCTCAGAAGGTGTCTAAATTAGACAGTTAACAGTGTTTTGCATTTTTTGACGCTTCAACGGCGATTTCGTTTTAACTTGCGATTTTTATTTTAAATATAAAAGATCGATAAAAATTCCTGACAATGTCGTTGTTAACGTCGGATGCGTATAATACCTATACATATATATATATATATATATTCAGAATTTTTACATATACAGATATAATAACAAAAGATATTGTTTTACAATGTTGCAATATTGCCTTGTCGCTTCCAATCTTATATTGTTTATAAAAATTGTATAAAATATAAGCAATTGTTTAGACGATGAATAGTCGTCAAATTTGTATATTTATAACCCTCCCTTAAATATTTAGTAGCACCGGCCCTAGTAATATAATATATATAATTAGAATGATTTCCCTTAAATTAAACTTACGTGAGATATCCATTGCTAATATCAAGAATGAATATATAATATCCCTTCAGAGCAGAAGACGAGATTACAAAGGTTTTTTATTTATAAACAAATTTATACATCTACTCATATTTTTGCGTGATATTGGCTTCAAAGATCCCCCAGTTAATATAAAAAATAATGTCCTATTTTATACCACACTTGGAAATCGTAATATTGTTAGTCCTATTAATATGATTTTACGTTTTAGTAATGACTAAAGTTCGAATGTTAATGACCAAAATTTCATAAAAATATGCTTTATAAAATGTCAAAATATATAATTATATGCCACAAAATGAATTAAATATACCTATTTTTTCAACAAATATATGCAAAAAAAAATAATTAATATTAATTTAAGAAATGTTTATACTCTTTTGAATATGTATTTAAAATACTTTATTACAAAAAAACACAGCTTATAAATATGAAAAAACATATTAATTAGTTTTCGATGTATTAAAGTTAAATTATACATAGGTTAAGCACTTCAAGTATCAGGATTACACTGTACAATAATAATTTTAGTGATATTTTCAAACTTGAAAGACCTTTGACGAAACTACAAGAAGTTTTTGTAGACTGAAAATAACACAATTAACGGTAATGATAGATAATTTATAATAATACGGACAATTTTTAATATTATATTTATAATTTATAAAATATATGCTACTTAATCTAGATATATGCATTTATATGCTCAAAAATATCAAATATGCAAAATAAGTTTGCATACTGCAATCAAGATTTCATGAATCGAATTTATATCATATTAGGGTATAATTTTGATTGCGTGAAAAAATATGCCAAGTCATACACATCAGAGCTCTAGTAATAACTAATGGATACCTATTTAATATTGATTTTTTTTTTTTTTTATCAAAATTGTTAAGACTCCAATTTAAAACAATTTTTAAATAGTTCCTAATTATTTTTGTAAATAATTGTTACATTATGTTATACATTTTGTTTTTTTTAAAAATCTGCAATACACCCGTTACCTGGAAACACCAAGGAAAAGGGATTACATCACATTATGTTATACCTACTATATTCTAAATTTATTGATATCGCTTGCGCATTATTAAAACTATTGAAATATATATATATATAAATACAGTAGAGTATCAATTATCTGCACTAATTATGACCGAGGGGGGTGTGGATAATCAAATAACAATGAGAAATAAAGTTAAAAACTAATTTACTATGAGTATAACAAGGGCGGGGCTAAGGGGACATTAGCCCCCCACCTTTGAGACTAAGCTATCTATTTTACAAAGCAAAGTATTATTATATATTAATAATTATAATAAAATATCGTCAGTGGTCATTGATGAATATGGTACTTATTTTATACATTTTTTTTATAAATAAATAGCTCACTTTTGTTGTTAATTATATGTATTTACCTATATTTTAAAATGGTTTCAGATTAAAATTGATACCAATAATGTAACTATTTAAAATTTGTCATTATTGTGAAAAAAATGACTTACTTATGAGGGAAAAACTTAAAGGTTTTTCTCCCTATAATATCAAACGTAAATTAATAAAATTACTTAAATGTTAACCTATCCTTAATTGTGTATTTTATTAGGTTTTTTTTATTGTATATTTTCATTGTATTTTTTTATGTATTAACAAATAGCTGGTAAGTGAAATTATGGTGATACAAGTTTGTCCGTCTTTTCGGTCCTCGAACTAGATAATGTTGATGAGTGATTGAGTTTTAAAGAAACGATAACTCATTTCTTTAGTAATTTTGAGTAAAGCTTATATAAATATATATACATATATATGTTACAGTACAGACGATTTAAAAGCACAGTTTATAATAATGAATTAATACAAATAGAAAAAATATATATATATATATAAAATAGAAAATAATAGAATAAGAATAATAAATAAATAAAAGGTTGTAGGTAGACCGATTTGTCGTATAGTATTAAGTGTACCGTCAAATGGTTATACTTAGGCAGCGGTACAACTTGGACCAAAATCATATGTTTTTATTTTTCGCGCCATAAGGCCATAGTATCAAGTTATAGCGTTATCGCACTATTTCCAATATTTTTTTTGAAAAATTTTCTTCAGTAAGAACTTAAATTGAAGATCAGAAATTATTAGTAAGTATATTTAATATGTATAATAAAGTAAGTGTAATTTGTTAAGCATTTGACATACCTTAATAGTATTGTATAAACAAGAAAAAGTATTGTTTTTTGAGTGATGTGATAAATAAAAATAAGTTTCCAATTTATGTAATTGTTATATTTTAATATTTATTACATTTATAAGTATAATATTTATTAAGTTATTTAAGTTTTAGTGATGTATGTGTAAGTTGGGGCAAGGTGGTCCATGTTACACAAGGATAAAACTTAGTAGATTGTACATACCTAGTAAAATTAGTTTAAAATACATCTTTACCTATTTGTTTTTACTAGTATTTAATTTGAATTATATAGGTATAATATAATATTGTTGGCTTGATTATATTAAGTTATCTACTTATTGATTTTTTTTTTTTTTATAAAATAATGTATTTATAATTTTTCTTTTAAAGAAATGGTTGGACGAAAAAAGAAAATTGGAGCAAGACCATACAAAACATATAATGAAGAAACACTTCAAAGAGCAGTACTTCTTGTAAAATCTCATAAATTGACTGAACGTTGGGCATCTAAAGAGTTTGGCATATCTAAATCCACAATTCACCGCAAACGCCATGATCAAAATTTATCACCAGTTGGAAGACCCTGTGTTTTGAATTATGACGAAGAACAGGATTTAGTCAAAGGTCTTATTGTAGCTAGTAAATGGGGATTTCCATTAATCTCACATGACATTTCTCATAATTTATGTGAAATTTAAAATGTTAAAAATGTTGTTAATGGGAATTACATCTGAAAATATTATAAAATCAAGACTGATTATGTATTGCTATTCTCATTGTTAAAATATGTTAATTAATTATAATTTAAATAAGTATTCTGATTTAATAGTAGACTGATATAACATAAGTCATAATGTATTACCTTCATACCTAGGGTTTTTAATTTGTATAAATATTGTTTTGTTTTCAACTATAAAAATATAATTAATGTGAAATATATAAATCTATAATTCAATTGTTTTTTTTAATTTATTTTTAATTAGTGTACATTGTTTCAAAAATAAATGCAAAATGTTTTTCTTATTTAAAAAAATTCAAGGAATCTTTTAAAAATATTATTTTTTTTGCCCCAAATAAGTCTTAGTAAAGGAAACTTGGTTTTTGTATGATAATTATATGTTAGCCCCAAATTAAATTTTTATGGTATTACTTGGGACAAGCATAAAAAATAAATATATAGGAGTTTAAGAAAAAACTCAAATCAATAATATTTTCATAAAACAAAGTAAGACCCAGATTTTTTGTAATCACATGAAATTCCCTAACTTAAATAGTTTTTAAGTTACCTACAATCATAATTTTATAGTGCCCCAAGTAACACCATTTGACGGTAAGTCATAAAATTATGGCATATGATCACGAAGAACTTCGTATCGCGACAAAGATTTTAAATTCGGAATGTAGTACATTACCGGCTAAAGTTTATTTTTGCGTAATATATAAGGTGCAACAGAAATAACTCCTTTGTTTGATAAGGCTGTAGTTTGATTTCAGGTGAAAATAAAGTAATAACATCAATAGTAAGCTTTATTTATGGTATGTCATTTTAAGTATTTAACATGACTTGATCGGGAAAACATAATGCGTTTGTTGTCCAGGATTTTATTTTAATGACGGCGGTTCACTAATATCGACCCAGTGTGCTAGCTTTTAAAAAAAACAATGTACCTATTTTGCTACTTAATATTAAAGCTTGTTCACTCAATATGATATGGGGTCACTCAAATTTCTTTTTGGTACAAACGATACAAAAAGAGCTTCGTCCAATTTAACATTTGTCGCGTTTATGGACCAACTAATTTAAGATTATGTACAAATATATGATATACATTAGAGTGAGCTGTAGTAGATAATAAAATAATGTCACATTTCATAATATGTACACAATAAAATGAACATAACGAATGATAAAACTAAATTGAATTATACTAAAAATACATGTTTGAAACATTCTATAGTGAGGATAATCGACGGTTTACTGTGCAAGGATATTTTTATTTTAAATGTTTAAGCATGACGACATTTCAATGAGCGGTTTTAACTTGAATGCACCACGGTAGTTAACGTAAATGTTACCGCGGTCAAAGAATATCTGCAGCGGAACCCTGTACGAAAATAAATCAATAAATTGGCCGTCCCTTGCTTCGTACGTATCGCGTAGTTCCTTACAATTCCGCACTCGCTACTACGGGCGCAGTACGCGCAAGTGTGTCATAGCATTACTATAAATTATAACTTTATAACACATACACACTCACATCACCAAACAAATATCACGTAGAAATCAAGTGGTGCAACGGTGGGCCATTCGATAGAGCCTTGTGTTTATTTGCATATAAACGACACAATATTTCGATTAATTTCAAAGGCAATCGAGTTAACGACCGAAAAACGTTTTATACTTGGGCTCAATTGTTGAGCCATTAAATTCATTATATACAGTGTTTGTACCTATTTTGTAGATTCTCCACAAAATCTTAGGAAATGGAATTCAAATTCGACATAAAAGATTTAGCTGAAGAAGGGATTGTGAAAATCGATCATACCCTTACACCTTTTGGGAGCGAAGACGATGGAAAGTATGAATAACAACAACATAATATATAATAATATACAAATATCACATAATTATAACATTCAAACTAATATAAAATAATTAAATATAGCTTACAAAAGAGAGTTGCAATGATTGTTGATGAAATGGGCAAAGCATCTGCAAGAGCTCAAGATTTGAAAATGCCTATAACAACAGCTGAAAAATTATCAAAATCTGATCATACAATATATTTGTTTTCGGAACAGACCAACGAAGAGTATGTATATTTTATCCTCCATACATCATTATTATGTTACTAAAACAATATAACCATATGCATAGTAAACTTAATTATCTAATATTTAGAAAGTGTGTTGTTGTTGGAATTTTGAAAATGGGCTGGAAAAAATTGTACCTTTTTGATAAAAAAGGTTCACGTTCTGAAGCTATGGTGTACTGTCTTCTTGATTTTTATATTCATGAAACAAGACAACGTCAAGGATATGGAAATAAATTATTTGAGCACATGTTAAAAGTTTGTATCATCATTACTTTAACATATTATGATTTTCTATAGAATATATATATATATATATATATATAATATTATAATATTAAGTGGTAAAATTTTCCTGATTTTATATACTTTATAGGATAATGAATTAGAAGCAAAACATATAGCTATTGATAAACCTTCGAAAAAGATGTTACAATTTATGCAAAAACATTATTCTCTAAAGAAGTTAGTCGACCAAGGGAACAATTTTGTCATTTTTGAAGAATTTTTTGATACTCCTGGTAATCCACAAAATAAAACAAAAATTAAAATATAAATAAATAAAAACTATTATTTTTTATTTCAGGATTTATGCATTTACAAGATAAATTTGATAGGTAAGATGTCATAAATTGAAGACTAACATTAAAGGGAAAAATCTTTCTAAACAATCGTTTTACTCCGAGCCATGTGTTGAAGTAGGAAGCGAAAACTCACGGTTGCAAATTCTTAAGAATTGCCAAAAAGTTTTAACTAAATTATTTCAACAGTATTTATCCCAAAAAAATAAAATATAATATTATAACAATCGTGCCACGTTTTTACGTCCATATTTTATTATCAAATAAAGTACCTAAATACTTGATTACTTAAAATAATATTTCGTTCAATATCGATTTTTAAGTACGATGATTTATTATTGCTTTCAAATTGATTGAAGGTATTTTTGATTAAGCAAATACATTCGTGCTAATTGAATAATAAAATACAGAAAACGAATAATTCATTATACTCCTTATTCGATATGTCCAGGTTGGTATTATTTTAAATAGTAGTGAAATGAGAAGACAAGAATTTACAATTCGTATTCTTTAAACTGTTTTTCTATAAATATTCTTTTAATTAGATACTCTGATATTTGATATAGTCCAGACATCTACACAAGGGTTAAGGGTTAAACCTCCCTAAATTTAGGAAAATTATTTAATATATATTTATTGAGTAAAAGTGGTTTATAGATCATATAAATATGAAAATATTCAATCTAAAATGTCCCCAAGATATATTTTTGTGTACGCACCTGATATAGTCATTATTATTTTTAACATAATTCTAAATATATCAGAAAATCATAAATAATAAAATAATATAATATATTATAGTTTATTATTAATTATTTATAGTACTCATGGATACAGAAACAAGCCAACTTATGGACGTCACGCTGCTAATAAACATGGGGACTCCATGTCTGATGTACGTAAATTTATTTATTAATTGGTTTTATATTAAAGATAGTTATAATTTAAAATAAAGTTAAGCTTGAAATTATATTTAGATATTACACGGGGCTGGTAGTGCTACTCGATTAAATGACAAATATGTCGCAAATGCTGATATGTAAGTAATATTTTCCCAAACACAATAATTATTTTTATTTATAATTTTTAAAACTAAATTTAATGTTACTATTCGTTAAATAGTATCAATAACAAATTCAAGGATAACAAACCAAATCTTGTCACAGTTCTTCCCTCCGAAAAAGGTGTAAGTGATATTGTTAATGGAAAAAAAGGCGCTCCACCTAAATTGGATCTCAAATTTCATCATTCGCATTTATGGTAAAACGGTTTTATGAACTATCAGGTATTGTTTTAAAATTTAAAAATTAAATTTTAAAAATCTATTGCTTTTAATCAGTTATTTTAATTATTATCTTATAAAACGAAGAGCTTTTTAAATTTTTATAAAATTATTTGCAACAACTTGAACATATAAGGATGTTAATTATTTAACACGTATTGAAAAAGAAAACTTATGAAGTATTTAAGTATACAGATTATTTGATGAACACCATTCATTTTGTATTACATAAATATTATAATTTAACAGTATTACTTATAAATACTCATATCACCTATCTATACTTTATTAGTTTAAAGTTTGTATTAAGCTATAAATATTGGTTCACTTATATATTTTTATTATATTAACCATTCATAATCATTATTTTTCGAGGAAAGTAATATCATTTATTTTATCAAATATCTTATACATTTAGTAGGTTGTTATTTTGGTTATACAATTTTTTTTTTCAATAATTTATTTAAATTGCTTGTTTATTTTTTATTGACGTAATATGTATCTGTGATTTATTTTATTAATTAATCAATTATTTTTATGTTATTTATTATTGTACGAGTTATGTTAAAATATGTTTTTTACCATTTTAATAAGTGTCATAATTATTTACGATAGGTTACCTGTTAAACTTACTCCATATTTGTACCTGCTGTAGGCTTTTACCATTTATTTCTATAAGAATACGTTCGTTATAATTATTTATATTGATCCAAGACCTAAGTAGTAGTATTATAATACACTTTAGTTGTTGGTTTTCAAACAATTGTAAAACATTTGCACAAATATCAAAACTATATTGAGTTAGTTATGAATTCTAAAATTCTTATTAAGGTTGTCATACTTTTATATTTTAATATCAATGGAAGCGTATTACTTTTCGTCTTGAAAAGTTTTATATAAGTAATATTTTTATTTATAAGTTATGATTTTTCAACTCAAAATAAAAATCGGTTTAGTAGTATATTTATACAAATTGTAGTTGTTATTTATTTTGAAAATACGATGATTTATTATGTTTAAATGATTTTATTTGTTGAATATTTTAAAATAACCTAAATACAAGTAATTATTAACACTAAAACAAAGCAAGGAAATCAAGGAGTGTATCTACTGACCTAATGATTTTATTACTTAGTATCATTTATTATAGTAGAAAAGTATTATCTAATAAATGACTGCATGTATTTCTTTTAAAACATCAAAATGTTCATTGTTGATTAGACCAGCGGTTCCCAACCCATGAGCCGCGAACAGATGATACTGGGCCGTGAACCATATTATATCAACATTAATTACATATATTTTTAAAATATTAAATATCAGCAAGTGAAGAAGATTTGATGATTGAACTTTCATGTGATCAGGCTCTAAAATCGTTTTTTAAAACTACACCATTATTACCATTCTAGTTAAATATTCGGCAAGACTTTCCAGCAATTTTTAAAATTTCACTTAGAAACTTGATAGACTATATTTGGACAACCTGTGTGTCTGAGTGAACGAGTTTTTTCTACTTTAATTTTTATAAAAAAAAATGTAGGAATAAATTGAAATTTGAGTGATTTAAGGCTAAAACTTTTCATTTTTAATCCAGATATTCTCTCGTGGGAGACAATCCGAAATTACATTAAATTGCCTAACTCTTGGATAATCTGGTTCAATGAAGTTTTTTTTTTTTTTTAAACAATTTTTTTTTAATAAATAAATTGTAATAACCAGTGCTCGACTTGAGAGGGGACGCAGAGGGACGGAATACCCAAACTAATTTTCAGAAATTTTTATAAGAAATGTTTATGATTTAAATCATTTCTCTTAATATAATGCTACTTTTATTTTACATATTTTACATATTTTGGTATAATTATATATTTTTCCATATTTCACTAATTTGTAAATATTTTTAAACATATTTTATCATATCATCATTCATACGGCTTCTTCGTACAAAAGTACAAGAAATTATTACAAATTTAGATTCAGTAACTTCTATTGCTATTAGAAAAGTTCAAAATATTATGCAAAATGAAACATTGAAAATTAATTTAATTTTCATCTCAGTGAATTTTAGTTTTATTGCAAATATATTTACAAAATTAGAAACAAAAATATGTTTTTGAATAAAATTATGCAAATTGTCGAATCAACGATTGCAAAATGAAAACTCGTAAGCGGACCAATAGGAGATGTTGTAAAAGAAAAAATTCATGCTGTTATAGAAAAAAATTCCAGATTATATTGATTTTAAATCAATCAATGACATAATGAGTGGCAGACCTTCTAAAAATTTGGAATTATCGCCTTCTGATATTATGCCCTTCAAATATGCTTGAATCAACTGATATAGGTTGATGTTAAACGATCATTTAGCCGTTTTAAAAATATTTGCAGATATAATAGGCAGTGGCGTATCCAGGGGGGACCACAGGGGCCATGCCCCCCCCTCGTTGGCTGTATTTACTAGATTTTATTTTAAAGATTTATATTTATTCGTATACATGAACGCATACTACAATAATATGCTTATACCAATGAATATTTTGCGGTTTTACCAGTAATCATTATTACCGTTATCACGTTTTGATAAAATTGCAACTCGTTGATTGGTCAAAATAATTTTATACAATCTACAATTGTTTTTATACACTAATAATTTTGTTTGGACTAACCCGTTTTTATTATTAAATTACTATTTATTATTATGTACATATATATTAACTTAATAACTGACTGAAAATATAAATAAATTATTTTCATTAAAAACATTAAATATTTGGTTAATTTTTTTTTATCTTTTTGGTAGTAGGTAGTGTATAAGATAAAATTTTAGACAGTGTGTGCCCCCCCCCTAAAAAAAATTCTGGATACGCCACTGATAATAGGTGACATTTAATATTTGATAATTTAAAATATATTGTAATAATTCAATGCAACAAATTATTTTGATAATTTAATAATTATAATTTTTTTTTTTTAATTAAATTTTTTTCCTGCATATTTGGATGGTTTTAGCATATATTTTATAAATTATACTTACATACATATGTACATATTTCTGTATTTTTATTACTTTTAAATCCATTCCCTATTAATAAATAACGGACATTTCATGCCTAATATTTATTTTGTTGTACAATAATGTTATGTAGACACATCAAAGTAAGAATTCATAGAATTTGGGTCCAATAATGACAATTATTTAGAACACATTATTACATGAACAATAGACATAATTTATACATAAATATTGAATTTAAGGCGGTCGAATGATGATGGAGAACGATCAATTTCTGTGTAGGTACAGCGTAATGCGTATTGTAATATTGCTATTTTCTTATCGACAATTATTTCTGTACTTTAATATTTATAAACCATCTACCGCGCAGCCAGTGCTGGCCGGACGGTTTTTGGGGCCCGGTGCAGAATTTTGCGGGCCCCGTACAAATATATGAATTTATTAATTGTTTATAGAAATCTATTTTTTTTCATATTATTATATAACTAAATATATACTATAACTGTATTTCGAACTGTCGTCGACGATAAACAATTTTACAAGCTATGCGTAATTGGCATCATCTTAATTTTCATCGATAATAACCCGTTTACTGAGACCACACAACTACGCGGGTTACGATTTGCATACTGGGACTATATTATTAATATTTACAAATAAATTAATAATCGTAATATATAATTTGTGGAGCCACAGGGGCGTATTAGATTTTTTTTTGGGAGGGGGACTGTGGTATTTTCTCCAAATGAAATTCCCCAATAAGGGCTCGTATAAATATTGTACGGTGATTGAGATGCCACAACGCGTGTATATCAGTAAATCAATTCTAGGTTAAAGAAATTGAAATTAATAATGCAACAGTACCGTCGTCAAAATTAAACACAATGTACCGAACTCAGTGGTATAATCGTTACGATCAAAATCGTCAGACCCTTTACATGAATAACTTGTTCGTTGTTACTAATAATTCTTTATAAAATTATATTGAACTTTTACGATTTACATCTGATAAGACATAATAAGCAGACTTAATAAACAATTCCTGGATTTCAGGGAGGGGGCCAAAGCCCCCTTAGCCCCCCCATAAATATACCCATGTGGGGCCCCATACAAGCGCGGGGCCAGTTGTGGTCGCACCGCTTGCCCACCCCTAAGGACGGCACTGCGCGCAGCTGCAATAATAACCAGTTTAGACCTGTGGTGCATTATTTCTGGTTCTAATATTCTTGTAAATGTTCTTTCGGCATTCGTAATACCAGAACAATAGTAATACGAGCATGAGACTTCCCCGTATGGACCATACTATGAAATTTTAAATAATTCTCACCTCCCATGCATATTATGTAGGTAATATATGTCTATATATATAATAAATTGCCATTGTTCATAATTAATAATAAATGCTATGTAATACTATTTTAGTACCAATTTTTGAAAGTAAATATACAAATTAAATTTCTTATTTAGTTATTTATTTTATATTGAATGATAAAAATGTAGATTAGTTATTACAAAGCTAAGGAACTTCTAGCATTTGCATACTTTTTTAACTATTATTAAATGTAGCAAAGTACGAAATAAATTCGTTTCTCGGTGCCATAATATCGGATCTAAAATTTGAATGTGCATATTTTTGCATATTTGATAGATTTTGCAGGAGAGTGCATATTTTACAATTGTTATGCTTATTTTGCATATTTTGACAAATTTTTCAAATTTAAAATTAAAAATTATAGACACATATAACTATATATAACTATATATAACTACATATAACTGTATATACATATTTCAAACGATCGAAAAAAAAATGTACTAAGAGGAATATGCTATCTGCAATTTACTTCTCATATCTGGTTATAATTTTTGTGTAAGTATAAATAATACTATAAACCCGTATCGATCGTATAACCCGCTGGATATTGACCGAATGTCGATAAAGATAATAGTCGATATAGAATATTAGATTATTTATTAAGTTCAGTTGATTATTATCCGTCGTTGTTTTTGTTAACCATGCAACGTCGAATCATACGTAAAATGTCGTACTGGTATATTTTGTAAAATCGTGTAATGCCGAAAGTACAACAGTCTACGAGTAGTTGACTACAAAGTTTTGTTTCAGAGTTTAAATATACATTTACATCCAATGGACACATTTTATTTTGTGTACTATTTGGTTATTTTTTTTTTTTTTTTTTTTTTTAATGCATATAAATACATATTATAATGCATATTTTAA